TGCAACAATTCAGGTCCTCGCTAAATTCAGTGGAAAAATTGGTGTCACGACCTATGCATTAATTCAGATTCCTCGCTAAATTTATCGAAAAAATTGGTGTCACGACCTATGCATCAATTCAGTTGCCTCACTAAAGCGGAAAAATTGATGCCAGAACCTATGCAACAATTCAGGTCCTCGCTAAATTCAGTGGAAAAATTGGTGTCACGACCTATGCACCAATTCAGATTCCTCGCTAAATTTAGCGAAAAAATTGGTGTCACGACCTATGCATCACTTCAGTTGCCTCACTAAATTTAGCAGAAAAACTGATGCCACAACCTATGCAACAATTCAGGTCCTCACTAAATTCAGTGGAAAAATTGGTGTCACGACCTATGAACCAATTCAGATTCCTCGCTAAATTTATCTAAAAAATTGGTGTCATGACCTGTGCATCAATTCGGTTGCCTCATTAAATTTAGCAGAAAAATTGATGCCACAACCTATGCAACAATTCAGGTCCTCGCTAAATTCAGAGGGAAAATTGGTGTCACGGCCTATGCACCAATTCAGATTCCTCGCTAAATTTATCGAAAAAATTGGTGTCACGACCTATGCATCAATTCAGTTGCCTCACTAAATTTAGCGGAAAAATTGATGCCAAAACCTATGCAACAATTCAGGTCCTCGCTAAATTCAGTGGAAAAATTGGTGTCACGACCTATGCACCAATTCAGATTCCTCACTAAATTTTTCGAAAAAATTGGTGTCACGACCTATACATCACTTCAGTTGCCTCACTAAATTTAGCGGAAAAGCTGATGCCACAACCTATGCAACAATTCAGGTCCTCACTAAATTCAGTGGAAAAATTGGTGTCACGACCTATGCACCAATTCAGATTCCTCGCTAAATTTATCGAAAAAATTGGTGTCATGACCTATGCATCAATTTGGTTGCCTCACTAATTTTTCAGAAAAATTGATGCCACAACCTATGCAACAATTCAGGTCCTCGCTAAATTCAGTGGGAAAATGGTGTCACGACCTATGCACCAATTCAGATTCTTGGCTAAATTTATCGAAAAAATTGGTGTCACGACCTATGCATCAATTCAGTTGCCTCACTAAATTTAGCGGAAAAATTGATGCCACAACCTATGCAACAATTCAGGTCCTCGCTATATTCAGTGCAAAAATTGGTGTCACGACCCATGCACCAATTCAGATTCTTCGCTAAATTTATCGAAAAAATTGGTGTCACGACCTGTGCATCAATTCAGTTGCCTCACTAAATTTAGCGGAAAAATTGATGCCACAACCTATGCAACAATTCAGGTCCTCGCTAAATTTAGCGGAAAAATTGGTGTCACGACCTATGCACCAATTCAGGTTTCCCGCTAAATATAGCAGAAAAATTGATGTCGCTTCCTATGAGCTTATTCAGATTTCCTGCTAAAGTCAACAGGGTACCTAAATTGGTGCCAATTAAGGTTCTCTGCTGAAAAATAAAATAAATGTGCTCCAGTTCTTGCTCGTCAAGACCGAGCAACTGCCAGTGAATGCAACGATAAATGCTATCGCAGTCATACATATTTATTCCTATGGGTCCTACAAAAATATTTTATTATTTTTTATTCACAAACATTGCCCAGAGTACTCTTGTGGGCTCCCCGAGCCTTCAAATTTCCTCGGCCATCTCTGACCTCGGGGAAATGTTCTTCTGGTATAAGTGCTATTTTGGCGAATTTGAGCCACTCACTGATGCGTAGACGCTCCCTATAGTTCGTTTCACCTTATGGGCGAGCAAAGCCAACGCTACAAGCGCGAGCATGCTGCTTGTAACAGCGCCTGTAGTGCACGAGAGCACTTGCTAAGCCGGCACGCTCAGAGCATTGGGCTCACACTTCTAGCTTTGACTTCGCTCGCACATAACGTGAAACGAAGTGTAGAATGAACATTTATGTATGAACATTTATGTCTGAAGGCCTCTGCACTATCGTATTCTGTCAGTGCTGAGGCTGGGAGGGGTTTCTCAGCTGCCATCCGAGGCAGATATGGGTTCCCCGATGTCGGCAAGTTTCAGAGCCCTCAAGAGATGTGGAGGTAACCCCGGTCATAACTATAGGCTTCCGTGTTTTGGGGTTTTATTTATGTGAAATGTTCTTTGGCTAGGTGTTTCGCATTTTATAAAGCCCAGACAAAAGTTGGGATAAAAGTGTGGTTGTGAGGCTCGACACTGATTGGTTGTCGGACAAGAAAGAAGGAGCGAGGGGCTTGACGCTGATTGGTAAACGGGGAGGTCATGTGACCAGCGAGGTAGGCGAAGAGGGGCTCGGCCACCTGTGGACACTGAGGGAAAGGAGCTCGAGAGTATGGCAGTGATGTGATTGCTGCGCCAATTGTGCCAAACTGCACCAAACTGCGCCAAAGGGCTAACCCTGCTGCATCCTGCTACATTTTGCCAAAATATGGGTAATCTGCGCCAAGCCTGCGCCAAAAGACCAATTTCGGTCGCCTTTTACAACCGAAACTAAACTAAGAACGTAATTAGCATGCGGGAGCTAGGGAGCGCAAGCGGCCGCCTGACACAAAGTACACTGCATCCGTCCAGTCTTGCATGGTTTTTGCCGCCGTCTCGCGTTTCGTGCCTCGTCGTCTCGGGAATCTCGTCTTGCGTGTTTCTTTAAACTTTTTTAACGATAGACGCGGGCATGTGCGGACGCTCCGACACTAGTGTGCTGGGTGCCAGACATGCCGTCATGCTGTGAAGCAAAACCACGTTTTTGCGCGACGAGAGTTGCTTTATGAGCTGAAACGCAGGTCGCGCAACGTCGGTTGTTGCTGTCCCCTGTCGCTGCAGATATGGTGCTTTTTGAACTTGTTCATTGACATTCCTGTCCTTGTTTAAATCATAATTTACTACAAAAATCACTGTTTAAAGGGATACTACAACGAAATTTCGCCGCTTATCTCTTGGTCTATTCATGTTCAAGGGAGTGCTATCACATCAGACAGATCAACCTCTTGTTGAAAAAGGCACGAAAAGGAATTTTAAAACGAATTAAACGAGTAGCAGAGAGCACCTGGTGGATGTCGCTAACGCCTTGTTTGTAATGCCCGTCTAGGAACTTTGACAGGTAGTGACGATAACTCTCTCGCCTTCGGCCACCAGGAGAGAAAAGGGGAAGGTGGAGCTCCCCTCGCCCCGAGAATATCCTTTGTGTGTCCCAGAAGTCGCTATTGTCCCTCTACAAGAGTATAGAAGATTAACCCATCACTCAAGATTCGTACAAAAGCAGCTGCTTCGGTGGCTGGGACCGTTAGGACATCTCAACATCAGCCTCACCGAAGCTTTGCTTCGGTGAGGCTGATGTTTAAAAAAAAATTTCGTTGAAGTGTCCTTTTAATTTAAAGACTGCTTATCGGAGTAATAATTACCTAGGTTACTCTCGGTGGTCTTTCTTTCGAGAGGGGCCCCGGTACGTGAAAAATCTGCCCCGAAAGGAATTTGGTGAAGAGAAGTGAGCTAAAGCAAAGAAGGCAATGTCTGCACGCTGAACCCACACAGCGCGCTTGGTTTTGTCTTGAGTTCAGTCGTTGCACAAAGCGCTCCAAGAAATGTTTGACCCTGGTTTGCGATGTCTTGCATTGGTGTGCTCCAGTTCTTTGCTCCTGTGTATTTAGCTTGTACCTCACCTGCCAGTCTGGCAAGCACGCACTGCTGGAGTGTTGTTTTGTTGTATGCTGGACAGTTACATTTTGCATACTATTTTGGAAACCAGTTTGCAACGGAGCGGAGTGGCATTGTTCCAATTTCGATTAAGCAGCCGTTGTCTCCGCTTGCGCGACGAAGCACGTACCACTGCAAGCCTGCTGATGTTGCCCTCACGTGCATGGGAACATAACTGCACGGCACCAGCCGGGACTCTTGCAATTTGTTGTGTTACGTTTGCTTACTTTTGACGAAAATCTGGTACGTCGGGAATCAGTAAAACTGTGGCAAGCGTTCTTTTCGGAATCGCTCGGCAACGCCTACAACACTGTACACTTGTGGGATGTCTCAGCAGGAGAAACACAAAAAGCGAGTTCCGTCACAACACAGCACAAAGTGCCCTTCGTTTGTCCAGCACTTAAAACATTTTTTTCTAAGAATTTTTGCTTTAAAGGCCACTTTTGCTGCTCCGAAACACTGTTTTTGCTGCTCCAAAAGACACGTTTGCTGCTCCAAAGCATTGTTCTGGCTGCACCAGAGGCCACTTTTGCTGCTTCAAAACACTGTTTTGGCTGCTCCAAGAGGTGCTCCAAAATGGCTTAGGCCAATCACATCACTGGTATGGAAGACTCTGGAAGATCGCCAGGTTTGTCAGCCTGATTAGCGGTAGTATCACTTCATTCTAGGAGCAACTATCTAGTGTACACGTGATAAGCATTAAACTATGTGATGAAGAGCGCCGTGAACGTAGGTGTATGGCGTCTGTAAACTCGGAGTATCGCTAAATGTTTCCTCTGTGCAACACAGTTGCCAAGCATTTTTTTCCTTTGAATTTGATGGGGATGGGTTTCAGGGGGATTTCAGGGGGCCCTTCCTTCGAATTCAGTGTTTTTCGGTATCAGGTTTTGGTGTCTGACGAAAAAGTGGGGGTTCATTGAGGTTTAGGACGAAGAAAATAGGACATAGGCATAAGATTCCCCGACTGTCAGGAAACTGTGCTCGACCCGAAGACCCGTAAAATGTCCCCGTTCTGACACGAAAAGGAAACACGACGAAAGGGTGTGGTTCCAGTGAAATAAACGGCATCACATACGATTCGGCAATGGCTGTGTCCCAGGTAAACACGGTATGAAGCCGTAGATAGCAGTTTTCTTGTCCCCGCAAGGCTTGGAGGTTTCCTTATTCGAGCTTTGGCCCGAATGGGGTTTTATTTTTTTTTTCTGCTTTCTCCATTTTGAGAGAAGCCGGCTCGGTATTTATTGAAAATGCGGAACCTGGTCGTAACCCACCCGCATTCTCCCCAGGCCGCCCGCAAGAATGTGGACTCGGACCATGGGGACCCCTTCACCCTGCTGAATGCCTACCACGAGTGGCTGTCCATGAAGTCGGGCCGCGGGGAGGACACCCGCAAGTGGTGCCGCCGGCTGGGCCTGGAAGAGCAGCGCTTCTACGAGATGACCAAGCTCAGGAACCAGTTCAGGCAGCTCCTGGAGGTGGGCCACACCGTCGCGCCCTCGCTGTACCGCCCACAGTCCAAAGGAGATGACTACCATTCTCGTCCTGTCGGCGACTATGTGGAGTGCAAGTTTGTCTGCTTCTTGTGCAGGAAGTTCCGGTGACATCAGGACGCCGAGCTCCGATCGGTTCTCATTGAAAAATAGTGGGCACACCTCAAGTAGCCTGCTTTGAGGTCTACCCACTATCCTTCAATCAGAGCCAGTCACAGCTCGGCATTTTGACGTCGCCACAACCACCTGCGAAAGAAGCAGACGAACTTGCGCTCTGCACAGAAGACGAGGGCTGTGCCTTGTCTCATCTGATATCATTGCTAGCAGATCCACGCAGCACTGCCTAGCTCGCGTTTGTGGTGCCACGAGTGCATCTGGCGACGTCTCGTGACAAATGCGGCGCTAGTAGGCCGAGACGCATGCCTCGGCCGCTTTGCCGCGCGTGCTCCTCGAGCTGTGACATGTATTTTACTTGGGGAAGTTCAAGAACGCACAGGCCTCGTTTTCTAGGTGGTGTTAGCTCTTATCTGCCTTCCAATAATGGCGACTGCCCGTCAGGGGGTCTCGGGCTTGCAAATGTCACACTCAGTAAGTCAGCGCATTCACCTGCTTGGAGTACTCCAAATGTGATCTGCACTGAGTCGTTTACTCATCTCCTTTCGCACATTCCGGCGATTTCCTCCGTGCATGACCTGTGGGAAAGCCTGGGATACCGTTCGCGTTGGATTAGGGCAAATGCTCGGGCGTGCGAACAGTGCTTCGAATTGAATGGCGCTGCGTCATTTGTGACCCTTGCAGTGTAAGAGAAAGCCACGACACACTGCCTTTATCAATGCCGGAGACTACATTGCACTATTCGGTTTAAAACAATATTTGCACACCCCTAGAGGGTATGGTATTCTAACATGTTTACTGATCACAGAAATTGATGCTTCTACTGTCCCATCTTTTATTTATTGGGGCAACCTGCGCAGCTTTCTCCGAAACATTGTGGGTCAGTAGCAGTGCTTCTCTTTTTTCTGATTGCTTTCAATTCTTGACTGTCGCTACTAACTGCATATTTCATTGTTATTTTGAGCAAGGGGATTCTCATCTACAAGACCTGCAGTCTTTGCAAACCATTACCTGTCTGAAATTTTACATTGGACCTCAATGGTCGCTGCAAAATAACGATGTGACCACTGACTATTTTCTTTTTCTATTAAATAAATTACCGTTAGACTGGTGTATTAGTCGATGGTAGGGTTGTGTGATTATTTGAATTTTTTAATAGTAGTTTAGAATCGTATGCTCTTCAATAATCGCGGGTTAGCTCCGTTGGTTATGCTTCTTGCCGAGCAACTGTGCACTGTGGGGAAGCAAGTCTTGCGGAGTTCACAGGCTCCGCAGGTATTAGCCCCGAGAGCGAACACAAGCGTCGCTGCGGTCGCCGCGCCCTGATTGGGTGAGGTGTACCGTAACGTCAGGAGCAGGACTCCGCTCCGCGATCTCGCATCGGCTCGCTTCCCAGCACCAGTTTCCAGGTTTGGCGTTGTGTGCCGCAAGCCCTTCGAGGAGCTCGACTTCGTTTACCCGGTATACAGGTCGTTGAGTTAGGCCGATATTGACGTGCATCTGTACATTTTATAAGTAGGGCTCCGTGTTTTCGGATAAATCCGAAAAACTCCGAAAAACACCCGCCGGTAAAATTTTTGACAATTCGGATTTATCCGATAAACTACGACTTGTTATGTGCCCCACAACAATTTTTTTTTTTTACAATTTGAGCAGCGCGGGAAGAATGGTCCTGAGAAAATAACACCATTAATATCTTTCAAGCCTCGGGCCGTTGTCAAAAGAGGGTCTTACGGCTTGTCTCGTCAAGATGGGTTCAGGGTTATATCAGGTCTGTTCTCGAGCACGCGTGTACAGTCTGGGACCCACCAACTGCTGTTGATAGAAATAAACTTGAAAGAGGTCAAAACTTAGCGGCTAGATATGTTCCCGGGAATTATAACAGGCGACTCAGCATGACAAGTCTGAAGACATTCTTAGGCTGGGAATCTCTTAAAAAGAGAAGGAACAAACTACAGTAAAATTATTTCATAACATTTACCACTGCAGAATTAGTATACAGGGCGAAAATTACATTTTCCCCTCGGATTATATCTCTCATCGTGTCGATCACGAACGAAAAGTATGTGAATATAAATGTAACACAAACCAGTTTAAATCTTCTTTTTCCCCCAAATCTATTAGCAAATGGAATCAATCGCCTTAGGAGGTTGTTGACATTTTGGACAATGACTCTTTCTTTTTCTGCATTGTGAGAAGTGTTTTCTTTTTTGTTTCCCGTGTACTGGGTATGCATATGCGCGTTCTGTTATGCTCCTTTGTATTGCTTAAATGTATCACATTAATGAAAATCTCCTCCTCGCTGTAATGCGACCCTGGCGCTGTGGGAAAGTGAATAAATAAAAAGAAGCAGGTTATCGTACCATTCGTGTCACGACAAAAGCCACTCTTTTGGTTTCCAGTTTGGGCCATGGGATTTGGGATTTAGAGAAAGGAGAGAGCATGTTTCTGGGGGTAACAGTGAAACCTATGGACCATAGAGATTGTATAAAATAGCGAAGGGGGCAGTTGAAACCTGTCTATTACATCCTTAACCCCTCCACCTCGCGCGGCCGTGGGATAGATGGATGGGATGACTACGAGCTTCCTTGCGGCTACCTCCGGCAGTTGATTGATTTTAAGGTATCGACGTTTATCGAAGCCACACTTATGTGCCACTTTTGTCGTGGGACAAATTAATACTGCCAATGACACCAACGCCAAATTCAACTGAACAAATCTTAATTGATACGAGCACGTTTCATTTTTTTATCTGGCATACGTTTGCATCCGGTTATTATTTATTATTTTTAATAGGAAACACTGCGAAAGTAATCTCCGAATTTCGGAGAATTGGGGATTTATGAAAAATAAACTCCGATAAACACCTAATTTTCGATAAAAAATAAACTCCGAAAAACACCCTCCGAATTTCACGAAAAATAAACTCCGAAAACACGAAGCCCTATTTATAAGCCTGCTCGTCCCTTTTACCTTTAAAATTGGGTTACAAATCCCGAAAGCTATCGGTGGAGGCAATTCCGCCGATGAACCTCCCCGTCCGTCCACACGACCCAAGGCAATCTTGCGAGTGGTGGGTGAAGCGGTGGTGCAAGTGTTTCAGACGCTGGAATTCTGTTCCTTGCATGTTCATGATTTTGGACGATATTACATCCCTCTTTCAAGGCATTTGAAGTGGCATTTATATCATCGGCCTTTGGGTGGTCGGCAAATTAGCTCGCGACCCCGACTCTGCGCTGCCATTTTGCATGCGCTGGTTTGCAGATGTTTTAAAGGCCCTGCGTCTGATGATCTTTGAAGTTCTCATGGAATAGGGTTGTTCTGCATAAATGTGGCTTCTTCGTGAATTAATTATATAGTTTATACACGAATGCCGGCATATTTCTTAGAAGACGCACTATTACTGGAAATTAGTTTGTATGGTAGCAGCAAAAACGGCCAAATTGCCCCCAGTTGCCTGTATGATACGTATTGAACTGCGCAAAATATGCACAGAAATAGTGCCGTAATTTGGAATGTTTATACTTTTTCCTGGCATTCTTTATTCCAACCTTGGGTATTCGGAAAATACACCGCTTAGTCTAAATTGTCATTTCCAATTAAAGGGCAACTCCGCTTCATTTTCGATGCTGAAAAAACAACGCAGTTCTCTTTAGTATCACCTAGAAAGACTACACATCAAGTTTTACGACGTAATTAAGCCTAAAACTTTGTTAAACTGGTAAACAAAGTTTGAGATGCCTCAAGTCTCCGAAATCTGCTAATTCTAGCGGCCGATGTGCGGCGCAGAGAACAGCGCAGTCAATACCGCGTGTTGGCACAGCCAACACTGCGCCGCACGTCATAGTCTGGGACCGCTTTTTTTCTTGTTTTTTACTTTATTGAGGCGCAGCCTACAGGCGGCGCCAGCAGCGTGCATACCGATGTCCACGTGATCCAAAACGCGCATGCGCTGATGAGCGTCTGAGCGAGTGCTCCGCGCTCGTCGTCGGGAAGACCGAACCTGCTGCGTCTCGGAGCAACGTCTTGTGCTGCGATGCCTGGCATATTACGAGTGGTTTACTTAACTTCAACTACTAATGGTTCCAAAACATAACTTTAAAACAACTTGCCTTTTTCTGCGTCAAAACACTGCTGCCGCGGTAGTGCACACGTCGTTGGATAGCAGAGACCGTGGAGCAGATGACACGGCGCGACGACGCTTGCTCCGCCGATCCGTCCGTCCGCGCGGTCGGCGAGGTCGTGCGGTGACGTTCGTACCACGTGGGTTGTCCCAGACTATGACGGTGCGGGACCAATGTTGCCAGGCGCGGGCGCAGTTTCGGTTTCGGTTCGTGATCAGGAGTAAAGAAGGATTACGAGAATTATATTTCCTTTTTTGAGAAACAAACGACGTCGAGCCGTTTATTAGTATATTTTAATGTATAATCACCAAAAACCCAGAAATTCCTGGAATTGAGCGGAGTTGTCCTTTAAAAGAGACACTGCTGCAGGTCTCCAAAAGCTTCCTCAGCCTCCAAACTCCTTACAGCTGGACTCTCTGACAACAGAGGAAAACAGGAGTAAAAGCAAGCATTCGAACGTCTGTCTATTCGTAGGTGCTTCACTAGTAGCAGAAAATGAACCTGTGAAGGGCGGCAGTCTGCGTGAGAAAAGCTTCTGGTATTTTAGCTTCAGGACAATTCGATTTAAGTAAAATATAAATTTTAGGGCTTATGGGACTAATAACGAGCTAGACACCTTCGCTTACGTTTGTTATACATTACTTGAGGGTTGATATAAACTAGTCCACAGATTCCACCCGTGTAGTCCATTGAAATACTATCCGAATCCAACAAAGGTCAAATGTGAGCAATGTATATAATAAATATTCCTTGTTTTTTTTTTTCTTTACTTTGTCCCTGCACTTGGGCTGTCTTACTTGTGATTCTCTCCCCATGGCCCAGACTGCATTTAGCATGTTGCTCGAGCAGCAAGCAGCTTTTTTGCTTCGGTGATCTTGTTTGAAAACAGAGATACAAAAAAAAATAGTATACATAACCTGCCAATTCATTCAGACCAATAACAGCATTTATTGTGCGAGATGCAAATCTATAGTGATGCTCCTGCAATTGTGGCCATATTTCTTTATTTTCATATGCCAGCTGTGATTCATGCGTGGCCTGCCCTGTCAACCACGCTTAAAATGTTGGTTGAAGTTTCGCCTGTAGCTATACAAGCCATACCTCAATAAAAGCACATATAAAAATTCACACTTCCTACAATAACACTCAAAAAAAAAAAAAAAAAATAGAAACGAGCGCGCCGACAGCTAGCGTCGTCAAAGCCTCCACAGGGCGAGCAGGGTGAGTCGGGGATAAGTTCTCTCCTCGCCGTGACGTCGCCCCGGTTCGCCGTAAGGGGGCGCCACGCGAACTTCTCGGGGCTAATTGCTCCTCCACAGTGTGCAGGTACTCGGTGAGAAGCACACTCAACGGGGTTAACCAGCTCATCCCACCAATGCAAACGATGTCCGCTTTTGGTGTTGTAGTCGGCCTAGCAGGACGTAAGGTGTCTGTCGTCAGTGCTGCCAAATCCTTCTAAGAGATCATCCACCTCGTGCGGGAATCGAACCTGGGTCCGCCGTGTGCGAAGCGGAGGTGTTACCACACAGCTAAGCCACAGCGTTAACAACCTGCTTTATACTTAAGGCTTTTGTAGTACCTGATCCCCACTGCACATACTCTCTGAAGAAAAAATAAAAAATAGCCGATAACCAAATGCCGTCATTTCACTGTCATGCCAAGAGCTCGTGCTGGGAGAAGTGCTGTCGCACGCTCCGGAACAAAAAAGAAAAAGCGTTTGGAACTAAGCGGTCAGATGTCTATAATGTTCCAAACGCTTTTGTTCACGCACCCTGCGTGAACATGATGGCAGTTCCTAACAACTTTCCCAGGACGTGTTGCAACTATCGCTCAGACTGTACCGTAAATTAATACAGGACTGCTCAATTCTTTTTTGTTATGTATAAAATTGAAGAAATAATATTTGCATACATCAAGAAGATTTACAAATCCCCTCGGTCAGGATAGCTGAGACAAATTTTTCGTTTTCATGCCTCAGTTTATAAATATAGTTAAAAAGTGGGAGCCATTCCACTCTGTGATGGTGGATGATTTGCGAAGCTGTTTAGGACATGACACAGAAGTGACACAGAATTTGAACAAAGGTACAAACGCATTTATTGTCTCGATCACTGGTCATCGTGACGAAAGGTGCGCACACACACATGCTGCCTGCCGCATTCAAGGAGAATGCAGGAAATGGTGTCCCACATGCCACACACGCACGCCTTTCCCGTATAAGAGATTCGAAGTAAATAACCAAAATAAAGTGTTAACAAATGCGCGTGCAAGGTGCCATTTGTTTTGGGCTTTTGCTTTTGAACAGTTACTGCTGCAGACGCCGGCACGTGCGGTGCGTGGGTGCGGTGCGAGCATAGTTTTTTGTAACACACACGGAAGATCCACAGAACCCTAGCATAAACAGCTTCACTGTAATATTAAAACAAACCGAGATTTGAAGTGGACAAGTGAAAGGTTGGGTACAATCTTCACGAGTTTAGCTTGGCTTCTATTTAAGCATGGTGCAGTAGCAAAAGGCTCGAAGAAGTTGTTCAATATTCAATTCGAAAATATTCTGCCAAAACCACCATTCACTTCGAATTCACTTCGAACATAACATCCACTATTCTCATGTGCCCAGAGTTATCAGACAACAGGTTATCGGCGAGTGACTTCCCTTGTTGGCCCGCTCAGGAGGTGGGCCTGATGGAGCGTCAGGTGGAGGCGGCGAGCAGCGTGGAGCGCGTCCAGCGGCACGGGGAGTTGCGCAAGCTGCGGGACCTGCGGAGGCAGATGCAGAAGGAGCCCCGGAAGAAGCGGGTGCTCCGGCCGACTGGAAGGGACGAGGACGAAGAGGACGAGGCCATAGACCTCAAGGACGTGGAGTTCAGGCTGCAGCAGGACCCATCCCAGGTTCAGGTCTGTTCCGACCTGCCGTCTTCGTCGTGTTTTAGAGCGATAGTTTTTGTGCGAAAACCCTGCAACGGACCTCACTTGCTCATGTTGGTATCGGTTGCACCGTAGCAAAACCATGGGAGAAAGTCTTAGCAATGGAGTGCAGCTTTAGGTTTGACATTGTTTGACATGTGCAAAGTGGGGGAATGCTAGCAATGTGCTAACACTCTCTCTCCCCCTCTCTTCTTTCTCCCCCCCCCCCCCCTTTTGCTACATACAGTGAAACCCGTTTAGAACGAACCCACGTACGGTAAATTATTGTCGATATCGAATTCATGGAAAATTTAAATAAAAATGCATGTAAAAGTACTTTTTATAACAAACAACATATTGGCTATATCAAATTTTTCCCACCGGGAAGGCTTCCAAAACAGTGCAAACAATTGTCTTCAAGCCTCTCCCTTCTCCCCCACAAAAAAAAAAAAAATCTAGGAAAGAGAAAATTTCAAAGCTCAAGCCGCAAACAACATTGACAAAGAGAAGCGATTAATAAAATGACAAAGCTGACAAAAACACTGCACAATTGCACAAAAAAAAATAATAAAAAAATAAAAAAAACTTTACCAGAAAGCAGTTTGCCTATGAAGAGGACTGATTCAGAAGGGGAGATAAGCTAAAAGAACAAACTCTGCACTCATATGCAAAATAGAAAAAAAAAAAAAAAAAAAAAAATCTTTCCAGCGCTTTGTTACAAGGTGGAGGCGAGATGAGAGGGAAAGAAAAGAAGCTCTTGCCTTACAACGAACGCTTCATGGAAGTTCGTTGTAAATGGTTTTTGCTATATGTTCGATATAGCAAAAACCATTTACAACGAACTTCCATGAAGCGTTCGTTGTAAGGCAAGAGCTTCTTTTCTTTCTTGCTTGCTTGCTATATCGAACTGATAGTAGTGTTTCCTGCTGTTCGTTATAAACAGGTTTGACTGTCTTAAGATGGGAACTGTATATTAGTAAAAGTAATCTACTATTCATGGAGGCAATTCATGGCTGGATGGTACGTGTAGAGGCATTTCAGAGAAAATGGTGTCATGCACCCTCAAAGAACAGGGGTATAGATGAAAAAGAGAAGTTCACAAGCACTATTTCTTTGTTACGTGTCACATTGCACATTATTCCGAAAGGAAGTGCCGCTCATTAAAAATGCCTTCAAGTGCTGTCGCACATTCGTCACATTTGATGGAATGTCTAAGCCAGGCGATTTTTTTTGCTTCTCGTGTCTCTGAAACTCTTCTATTATTCACATATTTGAACTCATTTATTACAACCCCCTTGTTGTACAAATTATGTGACTACAATAAAATACCGGGGAGTGCCTAACCCACTTTAACTGAAAAAATGGGTATATCTAGACATGGGTGCTTGTCCTGTTGAATGGGGCACTTAACATATTAGTTTGCAGAATTCCCAAGTTGGGAAAATGTTAATAATGGGCGCTTGAACAAAGTTTACGGTAGTCCTTATACCTGGGATTGTCAACCTTTGAACCACCCACTCCATTGGCATGATATTTGCATGTGGTGTTTGTAGCCATATAGAAGGAGGGCATGCAAAGTTTCAGCCCTGTGAGCCAATTTTATGAGTTGCCCCACTATACCCCCAGAACGAAGTAAAGCATAGCTTTGCATGGAAACCGCTCAATGAATCTATCGTTGAGAAAAGGTGCTGATAACCACATGTTTTTCTGTTGGAACGCATACTGGAATACCTGTTGGCGGTTACTATGAAAAGAAATCTTTGAAAATATGCATTTTTCAAGTAAAAGAAAGTTAATAAATTTTTTTTTTTTTTTACATTTACAAAGTTTTGCAAATTACAATTTTTCATAATAAAGGAACATAAAAATGCAAAATCTAAGTTCATTGTAAACAGCTCCATAAGGTTTCAGCATGTAAGCTGCAAATATTAGGTCTCTTGATAGCTTTATACTGAAAGGATAGTTTTATTAAGGTGGGATTCATGCCAAAAAGTGGGTTGGAGAAAAGTGCATTCAAAGTGCTCGAACCTCTACCTTTTCTTTGGCATTGCTGGACTGAAAATAATTTATAAAGAAAAATAACTATCCAGTGTAAACAAATGAAACTTTCTGGGAACACTCTAGATGTTGGCAGATGTAAATAGGGCATTTTTTAAAATCAACTTTTTTGGCAAAAAAAATTTTTTTTTCTGGGTAGTGTCCTTTTTAAGGATGTTATGTCCCCCCCCCCCCCCCCCCCCCCCCCAAAAAAGAAAAAGGTTTTCTAATGTACCAACATCTACTGTGCCTCGACGCAGGGCTTCCTGAAACGGAGCCGCAGCTTTGGTTTCCACGACCTAAGCCTGATGAAGCTGATCCTCTGCTCTGGCGTGTACCCCCAAATCGCAATCTCGGACGACCACAACTCCTACAAGAGGGACTCCGACCAGGTCTTTCACACCAAGGTCCGCGTTTTTCCCGCATGCACCGACATGTCTGCCTCTGCCGTGGTGCCAGTGGAACGAAGTGCCATCTAAAAGCTTGACCGTATCCTCGAATATCTTTCTTCCCAGGGTAAGGGCTTTGTGGTGCTCCACCCCAACGGAGTGCTCGCTCTTCATGCGGACGTTCTGCGACTGGACGACTTGGACGTCTTGACGGTGCCCGGTTTCCGAAGCTCTCTGCCAGTCAGCACCAAGCATCAGGTGGTGGCGTTCATGTGAGTAGAACAGCTCCTCGGCCACTTCGACGACGAGCTGACGATGGGGTTTCAGTTTTTAACACAGAATGTGTTTAAAGGGGAGCTCCGGCGTCATTTTGGACATTTTCAACTAGTTCGCGTTTGTGCAGCTTATGGGCAGAAACAAGAAATACGAGACATGCCCACCAGCACATAAAAAAACGACAGTTTGGAACGAAAAAACATACTATGTATAAGCAAAGAAAAAAATGAAAGCTGTTTACAACTCCCTGTAATGCCGAATTAGAGCGCAGCTCTTGAGGAGCAGGAGGAGAAAAGGGTACTGAGGGGAGGGTATACCCCCTCCTCCCTCCTCCTCACCTCCTCATTCCGTCTGCTGCTCCTCCCTCCGAGCGGCGTCGCCGCCGCCTCACGAGGGTCACGTGACGTCACCGGGGTCACGTGACCTCACGGGGTTCACGTGACTGCCGTGGGCCTGATGACGATAACGTCATCACGATGGCGTCACGTGACATCACTGATGACGTCATCGTCACTGATGACGTCATCAGTGACGTCACGCGTCCCATAATGCACCGCACAGTTACGCCGACGGCGACGTTGCTCAAGTCGGAAACGGGTGCCTAAGAGCTGCGCTCTAAAATGAACAAACTGCGATATCCATTACTAGTGTTGAAGAATGCAGCAGAAACACATTCTGTGTATAGCAACTTTATTTTTAGGATCAGGATAAAAAAATATTAGACGAAGACACTTCAGATTGCCTATGTGCAGGAATGCGAAAGCATAAAGGCCTGTTCACACATGCAGCGGAGCACTGCAAGCATAGCGCTGACCTTGCATTAAGCACGTGCCGGCAAGAGCGGTCACCAGCTCTGTATCGCACCGTCAAAACCGGAGGCAGCGCACTAGTCTTCCTTTTGCACACGCCGCTGTGGCGGTGACATCACGCTCCCCTACTCTGCAGGTGCGGCAACCCCGGCGGCTTCCATGACAAAGCATCTACGTTGCTGTGCTTTTCTTTGTGTTTTGAATTCTGAAATGCATTCACTTTGACTTGAGTGGCTCTTGACACGTCACAGCCAATAGGAATTTATTGCTCATTTTGCCGCTACACACAACGCCGGCTTTGCTCCACGGGACAGTTCATGCTTTTGAATAAAGCATTTTTAATTAAATGACTGTGGGACATTGGTACAGCTTTCATTTGAATTAATATCTGTCTTCACTGTGAGACGTAAACGAAAGAATAAAAGGAAATGGCTTAGCTTGGGAAGGGAAGAAGCTTGAGAAGGAGCTTTAGTGTTCACACCTCTAGCGCAAGCATCCTACCTTCGACGCTTTGCTATTTCCACCTTGTCAGCGACTATAGTATGCTTGTCGTAGATTGTAACTTTTAGCTCATCCTGTCCTATCCATAGGTCACTGTTGGAAACGACAAAGCCATACCTCCTAAATTGCCTAAGGGTCCAGTGTGTGCAGATGCTTCTGCTGGTGTCATCTGCAATCGATTCCAGTATGACTCTGTCCAGGTAAATGTTTTGGCTTCTGATCATTGTTTTTTTCTTTTCAGTGTCGCAGTCAATTGATTGGTTAGGCTACCTACAGCGCGATTTCTAAGTTCGAGCTCTATGCACCCAAGAACATTTATATTGTAGTTTTATCCTTCATCATTATGGGGGATCAGAGCACCTGAGTGCGATCATCCTTTAGTGTGACCTGGAGGCACTGCTCCAGCCAAAAATTATTATATTTTCACTCTCTTTGAGAATTAAAGTATTAGTGCTTAGACAGCCTTATATAGGGTTGTTCTACAAAATTCAATTGAAAATCTTGTAAATGAAGCATACAGGGACCTCTTTTTAGAAATTGCAGGTTCAGGAGGCTTCCATACGAAGATATGTGAGCTCATGCTTAAGCGAGCTTAGGCACCCCCTTGAGCAGGAGAGCCAGGTTTTGTTGGCTCCATTGAGCTGGAGTGTCCTAAGTTGAGTGCTTCCAATGTTTCTTTTGTGTGCATGGTGGCCTATCTTTTGCCTGCAAGTTCATAGAAAGAAGCTTTTTCCCTCTCTTTTCCAATGGCACACATTTCTTTATATACGAAGAAATCCCCAAACCCAATTTTCAAAACAATACCAGTTATTTTTTTTTATTTTTTTTACAGTTGGTTTTGCTGTAAAATTGGTAATTCAAGAATTACCACTGTTAGATGTCATTGGAAAGCACTTTGTGACATTGCAGCTAGATTGCTGCAATCTTCTGATATTTTTTTCTTCTATGTGCACTTGCAATGTCCTCTTTTTCTTATAGCATTGGAGCAGAAATAGTGTGAAAAGCATGGTGTGCTGGCATCTTCCAATTTAATGATGAAACAAAGTGTAATAGAAAGATTCCGAGGATGATGTTTAAAAGATTTTATGAGAACTGTAAGGCGTGATTAAAGAAATGCCAATGCCAGGACAAATATTTTCAAAGCTAGAATTGCCCTCTGCTGTATCGTAGGTTTGTAGACTTGAATGATGTTGATGGACAAACAAAACGACACATTGCATGGAAAATATACATGAAAGATGTGTTGCCTCACCCATCTTTGTGTTTGTTCTTTCAGCATTAAGACCCGTTCACACTCTTGCAACCGAGTTAGACCAAGAAAGACCAGACCGGTTTTTAAGCCTCTTGCGACTTCTTAGGACCAGCTCCGCTGCAGCGCAGCCGGTCCTAACAAGTCGCAAAAGGCTTAAAAACCGGTCTGGTCTCTCTCGGTCGAAGTCGGTCGCAAGAGTGTGAACGGGCCTTTACTTAAATCACTCTTTAAACATATTCCTGGCTCACTTTTATTTTTTCTTTTCTTTTCTTTTTTTTTCTAAGGTTGGTTTTTGACGAGTTTGTTGAGGTAACGTTTCCGGATCCGGACGAAGCGCTCCAACTGGTGCTGAAAGTGCTGATCGCCCGCAAGCTCTACGGGAAACTCCTTGCCCTGATGCTCGAAGGTATGCACAACTCTGACTGGGGGACGTCGATGTGGCAAAAACATGGCAGCGGCACAAGACCACATTCGTATGTGCATTGGACAATCTTTTTTTAGAAACATCCTGTGTGTATGCTGTGTAGGCTCGGAAACATACTGGCCTGTGCTGAAGATCTGAGCGTTGTCTTTCTTATCTTTGGCTCGCCATTCGTTGGATTCCTTTTGCAAGTCCCAACGGTTCTCTTCCGCGGTCACCATGAGAAAGTAGACATGCCCGTCTCATAGCTGTCCCTGAAAGTATGTATGGTAGCATCCACAGTCTTCTGCACCTTTTGGCCAGTATAGTCGGATCTGGATTGTTCTGCTTGCTCCACTGCAGTACAGGTCACGAACTGCAACGTACATGCATTTAGGAACGGGACCTTTTTGTTTAATGTATCCGAACGCATTATAAAAGGAAGAAAAAGTGTATATCTTCATGTCAGTCTTGAAAGTGACTTTTTCTCCCACAACCTTTGCAACACCAAAATTTTGTTCAAACGATAGAAGTGTCTGTCCACCGAACAAAAATCCTAGAAAGGTCAAGTTAGTTTTCTCGTGCTTTTCGTTTTGCTGTCTGTCTTCTGGACATTTTGGGCATTGTCTCTTGGAGGCACACACCTCTAAACTCTACTGTTTTTTTTGTTTTTATTTCCTGTTTTGTTGCATTTAAAATTTTTAATTTCATTCAATCCCGTACGGACTTTCTGGATTGAACATGTATCATATTTTAGATATCGGAGTTTTCAAGCTCCTGGCCATAAAAAAAACAAACCATTGAAGCTTTTTGGTGTTCAGACAACCAGCTTTCGGATAGGTCAACGGATTCTTCAAAACCAATCTTCCATATCTTTGAATACATTAGACTTTCATTCATTCAAATTCCAGGAGGCAACAAATTTTCTTTGAATTATCAAAAATTCATCTAAATATGATGCAAGACGAAGTTATGATTTATCATATGAATGGCTACAGATACCAAGCAGATATTTAATGATTTCCTCTACATAGACCTACTGCCACACATGAAACTCTTGTGAAATGTATGACATAAGTTTATTTATCTCTCAAAAACATTGTTTATGGTGAACTGTTTAGACAGTACATGACAGCTCAAAACAAAATTAAGTTTGTTCGTCAAGCCAAGAAGTTGTCTTGTGTGGACTATTACGCAAGGGACACGAGCAATGAAAACTGGCACCGTATGGCAGTTTTCATAACTTGCGCAGACACTGTGACGCAGGTACGTAGCCAGGGGGAATACCCCAGGGGGCTGGACCCCCCAAAATCCTCAGTTTTGCTGGGACCCCCTCTCCTCCCTCCCCCTGATGTTTGGCCATGGGTAAGCCCCCCCTACCCCTCGAAACGAAATCCTGGCTCCGTGCCTGCTGCGACATGGACATGTGCCATGCCACTACGTCACAGTGCTACGTCGAACAATGACTGTGCGACCCGTGCTGAGACTGACGATGACACGGCTGTTATCTGCTCCTAATTTACTTTTCCCTTCCTTTCGTTATTCTGTTCTTTCTTTCGTTCACTAACATGCCAAGCTGTTAAAAAGAGGCAGAGCCCACAAATAAACATTCAGTCTGCCCGAGAAGTTGTCAGAGTCACTTCACACAGCGTCTGCGTAAGCTCCTATGGAATTTTCCGCATGTGCTCTGCTTGAGCACCATTGAGTGCGCTTCTCACCGAGCACTAGTGCACTGCGGAGAAGCAACACCCTTGGAATCAAGCTTCGTGGGTGTTGCTTCTCTGCAGCGCACCGGTGCTCGGAAAGAAGCGCATTCAACGGGGCCACGAGAACAAGTAAGAATTACACGAAAACGCTGTTCAAATTAACCGGCTTCTGAATACATTGAAAACAGCGCGACAACCAACTTTTCTTAAATTTGTTTAAATTAACCAGAAGTACGAAATACTCAAGTTTGAATTATCGCGAGCCTGCTGTAGCTCGGAAAGATCTACCTTACGTATCTGGACGATCGTCCCTTCCTCCCAAACCTCTTTGCAGAGACGGTGGAAACGGAAGGCAAGCGGGAGCCCAGTCCAGAAACGCTCCACCTGCAGCGTAAACTTCGGCGCAGGTTCGACGCAGTCCTTCGAACCGAGATTGCCTACACGGTGCGGCGACTTCTCCCCGCCGACGTGAAACACCTTTACACTGGAGCGCAAGGTGCGGGGACATCCCAACACTCTGGTGTTGTAGTACAATGCAGGCTGCTTATAAGATCCTCACGCATAGTTTAAGCACTATTTTAGAAGAGCCGAGCCATCTGGCGATCTACAGCAACGTGCTATACACCACCTAGTATGCACGTAATGGTTCCCAAGGCCTGTAGGCTCTTGCACTGCTTTACTGCATCAATGCCAAGACTAGGAAGGGTGCCTTCGCTGCCACTCGCAGCAGACGAAGGTTTCTCAAGGCAGAAATGTTGACTTCCGTTTTTCAGTCCACTTTGTGGTTGTGCTACGCACCACACAATCGCAGTGCAGGTGCGTCATGTGGAAAAGCCATTGTAACGGGGGGATTTTTAAAGCCACTTTATAGCTATTGACTAAACCCACAACTCTGTGACTGCGGTTATCACATTCATTGGAGGTTAACGAATGCTAGTAAGAATTTACACGTGGGGACAGTAACTTTGTAGCAAGCATCATAAGCGCCCGAAATGTTCTGTCCCTATCTGCACATGTCAAGGAACGCAAGAAGGGTGAAGAAAAATGCGGCTATACCAAATATATGGCGTCTGTTTTCAGCATTTAGAGCCCTAGCACAAGACGACGATTCACTGCCAGAGGAACGCTTCAAGGTCAACTCCAAGAAGGGGGGCGTCTTCCTCAGCGAGTTCTTCACATTTGGCAGGTTTGTTCTGGCATTTTTATAGATTGCCTGCTTCTGAGCTCTTTTTTCATAAAATGAACTAGTGCACAGTAGTACTAGATCTATGGATGCTGTGTCTCCACTGTAGATGAGAAATTTAGCGAGAGATTAAGTGAGGTGTAATTAGCCATAAGAAAAGTCAGTATTCTTGTCAAGCTCGGATTCCACGAGAAAATATTTCTAAAATCACAGGCTTGAACTACCGCAATATTCTGAGTCATCGCCCACCCCCTGCCTCCTGAAATTCATTAAAAAAGTGGCTGGGCGTCTCGGTGGGCGAGCACAAAAATTAAAAGAAGTGAAAAGAAAAACATGCCCACGACCAGCCATGGGTGCACCTCTGTCAGTGGAAACGTGCCACAAAACCCTGCCAAGTCATATTGGCACCTAAAATGACATTTGCGCAGTGTAAAGGCAAAAATTTTACCCTGCGTAATGAATGCACCCCCCAATTATGTGTAGGAGTGGAGGGTCGGGACATCTCGCTCTACATATTTGCAATATGTACACTGTCCTTTTGACTAGCTCATCGAAAAGCCTGTCGCCAAATCCCAGGGTCCGTGCAGCTCGGGGTCCAGGCACCTCGTGTCCCTTGCTCGTGCCTGTCCCGTGAGCTTGGCGCCGTTGAGGCGCTAGATAGCTGCCGCTACAATGTGTCGATGGTTCGGAAAAAAAAAGTGCATTTATTATGCGAGTAAATACAATAGTGCATATGTCCTCCTATAGATGCTGCTTACTTTATGAGATAGTGTTGCACTCAGAAACACAGTAATTAAATACAGTAAAACCTCGTTATAACAAAGTTGAAGGAGCGGTCGTAATTATTTCGTTATAACCATTAGTTTGTTATAGCCACTGTCCATTTCTTCCCACTATTAGCAAGCAAGGGGAATTATGATTGCTTTGTTATATCCATTAGTTTGTAATATCCCATTTTGTTATAACGAGGTTTTACTGTACACGCAAATCTCGTTAATTCAAACTTGAGGGGGACCGAAAATTTGTTAGAATAAAGCAGAGTTTGAATTAACGGGAGTTTCCTCCTATAGAGATGCATAGGATGAGACCTGCATGTTAGTTTGAATTAAGAGAGTTGGAGTTAACGAGATTCGACTGTATTGTAATTGTGCTTAAAATAATATTTTGTTTTTTACTTTTAGTCTGGAAGAGATTAGCTTGTCTGCGGATGCCTTTGCGGATAAAAAGTGGAAGTGTCCCATTTGCGAAGAAGAGTTTCCTTTGTCGGTCATTGATGCTGTCCTTCATCTGGATGACTGCGACAAAGACGCCGACATCAAAGGTAAACGAAGCTCGACTCTGGTTTTGGAGGAAATTTAATTTACCAGAAATGCTGCGATTTTTGACACACTTTCTGCAGCTAGGCATTGTTTTGTAGTAATTTCGAGCAACTTCCCTAATATTTGTTCTTCACAGTATATCATTGAATGTGCTGGATCATGGCAGCTAGTGTGTCTTGCAATCTGCTGTCTTCCATAGAGGTATTATAAACCTGTTTTATTTAAGCTTGTTAAACATTTTATTATAGAACTAATTCTCAAGTCTAGAACCTATGTGCTATTTTGTTTGTTTTTTCACAAGTTGGTATGTAATATACATTATGGTGGTGCCCTTCTGCAAGTTGTCTGCGCCACAGGCAAGGCTGTCAAATGACGCATTGCAGTTGGTATCTATACACTTTAATGTTCAAAGAATAATGAAACATTCAAGAACAGGACAAGGTGTCAATGTCTCTTAGATGTTTCTGTACAGACTTATAGAATTCTGTTGTGATGCTGGCTGACTGAGGCTTGAATCCAAAGTTTAAGTGGATTCCATAATTTTTGCAGTGCAATCCTCGCACATCGCAAGAGGAGTTTTTTTTCTGAACCATAGCCATTGACTTGCTAAGATCAGCAGGTCACTTCCAGACTACCGTTATAGGTACGTCAAGTGTCATTGTTTTATTTTTATATTTAAGATGAAGCGGAACCCTCCAACGAAGAAACAGTGCGGCGGGACCCGTCGCAAAAGGCATACTTCTGCAAGGAGTGCAACAAGGAGCTGTACCTGTCGCTGCCCGAAATATTCAAGCACAGGAAAAGCCATCAGGTGGCTGAAACAAGAGAGTCAAGCTGAGAGACAGCCCCGAATTCAGTGTAAAAAAATGCAGTGTACATAGAGCCATCGTCACGGCATCTCACTTATTAGAAAATGTCAGTAAACAAACAGCTTTATCGTGCTTTGGGGCTAGACAAATCTTGTATATAATTTTAATAAAGCATGTTTCTTACTGGAAAGTGCTTCATATGAGAAAGTGACGAGCAAGCGTTTGTGCTACAATAGCCCTTTTTGTCAGAAAAAAAGTGAGGCCAGTTGTGTTCTCTAAAATGAACACTGCAATTGGCTTTATATGCGTGTTTGTTTATTAAGCCGCGGGAAGTTGGCGAGCCCCATCGGGCGCCTCCTCTGCAGATGAGAAGTTTAGCCAGTGCTGTGCCACTGCTAGCCTGGAGCACTTAACGTGCATTATGCAGTAGTGACAGGGTGTCTACCAACCGGGAAAACCGGGAATTGTCAGGGAAATTTCCAAAAATATTGCCAAATCAGGGAATTTATCCTATGCTCGCCCGCTCGTGCGGCAGCGGCAGGCACGGGCAGGCGTAGCCACGAGTACAGTCAAGTGCAGCGGCGTGACGTCTTAGCGTGGTTTGCACTTTGTTAGAGTGGACTAGAAACGTCCGATCCTCCGAGAGGCGCGCACCTAGCGATCCATTCGTCAGGTATGGTGTTTTCGCGCTTCCCCGTAAACACAACTGGACGCCTGCAGTCTACGATCTCTGCCATGTCCGTTTGTGGCTTTGGGTTGGGCTTTCTATTGTGTTATTCCCCTGCAGTGGAGGTATGTGAAAGTGGCTATGTCGCTGTCGAAGAAGTGCTTCTTCAACCTCGACTGGAAAAACCGACATATCCACGAATGCGAGTTAAATTCAGCCCGTTCCAATCGATCCAAATAGTGCTCACTGCACAATGTGCTGCAAGAAGTTCTCCCTGAGCTACATGGGGAAAAGGGCGATTACTACTAATATTGACAAATGTGGACTTGCCTTCCGCAACAGCAACGGGCGTTTTGTCCGGAGGTAGCGCTAGTGCTTGTAGCACTCCGGCAATGCATCTAACCACCGCCACGGAAGCTCTTAGCCCCCCTGTAACGACGTCGGTGGGCGGCTTTTTATTGAAGAATGAAGCCCAATGGCCGAGATCATGTGGTGCTTGAACACTATAACGACTCGTGGATCTTTCCGTTCAGCGGCAGCGTCTTCCTCGCTGTTTCCGTTGATGTTCCCCATGTGCGAGATCACCAAAAAAATGCAACCCAGAGAGAACAAATGGATGTACTGATCAGGTACTGGGACCAAACTCCCTGAAACAGTAAGCCCTAATCAATGCTGTATTCTACACATCTTCAAGAGTGAAAGTAGTTGCTTTATCTAACTTAAAATATTTTACATTGCAAATATTGTGTATCTATAATAGATTGCGTTTTGGTGTCGGTAGTTGTGGGTCAAGGAATTTAAAATAGTCGGGGAATTTGAAAAAAAAACTATTTGGTAGACACTTTGTAGCGATACGTGACCACACGCCCGTAGAACGCTCCTCCTGATCGAAACGGGCTCGGGTAGAAACTGAACCCAGAATCCTCGGGTCCAGCAGTGCGAGCTTCTGTTCCACATGCTCGAAGCTGTGGTTCGTTAATGCGCTCGGCAACCGATCCTCCGCATGCGCAACTGCCTCAGCGTTTCAACAATACCAAAACAAGTGAAATTAGAGTCACAAAATCAAAGGAGAGCCGTCAGCTTTATTGACTATCGACTGTAAAAAAAAACGCCGATTCACCCCCACCCCCCCTCGCCTCCCTTCCCCTCCCCCGTCAAAAATACTGTTCCCCGCGGCAGACGGCGTGCAGCATTGGTCGAATAGAAGAGACGATTGTGACTATTTACAGTTAAATCCAAAAACCAACTAAACAACTAGCAAAAGCCCCCCAACAAAAACAATGTGGACAGGCAGTGCAGGCGGGAAAACTACTTATTCCTGGCGTGGAATTTCTTGGCGGTGTCGTTTGCGTGGTCCCTCAGCAGCTGGCAGGGCTCGAACTCCGGCCCGTATGCCTGGGCAAACTTGTCCAGCCATTGGACCAGCCGGTCTGCTCCGTAGGTGTCGACGTAGTGGAAAGGGCCGCCCAAGAACGGCGGAAATCCCAAACCAAACACGGCGCCAATGTCCCCCTCGACCTGCAGTTGAAATGAGTGATGGCCGTCCATGAGCTCTCGGGTGACGTCGCTCTCTGTACTCATTTTCACTTCGAGAACCGCGGTAAAAGAGATTGGCACCTCGCTAAGAATTTACCCGCTTATGCAGTAAACCGAGATACTTGTGAGCATTTATTAGTAATGTGAAATATTCTTATTATTCCTATTTTTCGGAGTGTTGGATTGTTGCGGATTAGCCCCGTGGAGCATGCTTGCTACCGAGCACTGGTGCACTGCAGAGAAGCAACATCCGCAAAAGCGAGCTCAGCGAGTGTTGCTTTCCCGTAGCAAACCGGTGCTCGGTAAGAAGTGCAAAGGCTAACCTGTCGCAATCAACACTTTCAAAAGTATGAATATGGCACTCGCGTGCTCAGGAGAGAAATACACTTTCAAAGTGGGATGATGCTTTTAAAAGGAGCGGAAACATTGCACCAAATTTTTAAGATTAGTGTGGTTATGATGCAAGGGTCTTTGTTCGGCAGAGATGTCCCAACAGCCTGCATACATCATTCCCAATTTGTTTTTGTTTTTTTTTTGCGATTTTTTTCTTTTTTTTAATTTGAATTTGAAAAAAGGATTTTTACACATAGCGAGATTTATAAATCCCCTAGATCAGGTATAGCTGGGCATCTTAATGTTTAATTTATATATCAAATTCGTTGTTTACTTGCTGTCCCAATGTTGGCATTGGACTTTCTGAGGCCACTCCATAAATGTAGGCATATTAAAATTAGTCTAGAAATGAACAAGTGGAGGCTTGGGAACATCCTTCACGAGCTTGGCCGGGTACGCTAGAAACACTAAATTTCTGGACCGATGGGACGATGGTAGAGGCGTGCACTTACGGGGTTGGCCAGGACGCCTTCCTGTAGGCAGAGAATGGCCTCGTTCACAAAGCGGCCCGCTAGCCGCATCTGCAGCTCCTCCACAGTGTTCCTGCGAGACAGTGTGCTGCTTCAGCCTCGGCACGACCTCAGGAATGTCGCGTCTCAAAGGTGCGACGCAAGCGCGACAGCGGGATGGGCGTTCTCAAACTCTCCCTTACACTAGCACACCCCAGCAACAAACTGGAAAATATATAAAGGTAGCCTTTACATAAAGCAATCTGTTGCGCTTGCTTGTAACGTAACATTACGAGCATGATGCCATCCTTTTAAAGCGGCGCTTCTCCTAGAGCACAGGCCGTCAAACTTGCCCACTCGGAACCGAGAGGTAGCTCGGCTACGCAAATTCACCGGTAAAGCGCATGCCTAATTTGAGCTCCATTTCAACGTATCCGAGCCGTGCGTTGATGCGCAACAGTGAGTGAAACATTCTCTCGTACATTTTCCGTTGTTAATCTGCAAGCTCCTCAACCGCCAAAAAAGGGGAAAGCGCCTTGCGAAGCTTATAGCCGATTCACACGACGGACCGAATCGCGATTTTCGTCCGCAGACCGTGTATCACGTGACTGGCACATCAGCGATTCCTGCGATCCGCTCCTCGTCCGCGGACGCGCAGACTGATGAAGTCGAGCACCTTTTTCACTCGCGGATTTTTGGCGGGAGATTGACTTGAGAAGCGTTTAGTCTGGCAACGGTACATTGTTTTCTTGTTGTTGTTTTTTCTGGACGATTAAAACAAAAAGGGTGCATCGTTGTGTTTTGTGCGTTCGCTGGTTCATTTTGTTGCACGGTTCTCGGTCCCACGCGTGAAAGAAACTCCAGAAACTTTGTCCGGCTGACGAGACGCAGGTTCCGGTACTCCTCCGGGTCCGCGTCAAGAAGCTCCTGTCAAAACTCATCTAGCACGCCGCGATAATTCTTGCACGTCCAATCAGGATTTCACCGAGCAAGACCTATTTTGTGGCAGTGGTGTACTTGAGTGTTGAGCGCCGAGTGCGTGAATGCATCTCCAAACGCCCCTCCGCAAGCCCAGAACTTCGTCGCTTCTATGCAGAACCCTTCTCAAGCAGGACCATGCCTGTGTTTACTGTCATAGTTTGGGTTAGTAAAGCTAGTGGCGCTTCGTGCGAAGCCTATCGCGGTGTTTTGTCTCTATCTGTAGTATGTAACAGCGGCGTACGATTCTTTACTGCGGTAGGAAATGTCTATTTCTCTTTTGGACAACGTGCAACGGTGCAATGTTGGAGTTTTGCGGCACTGTGGGGTGGCGAACAGATTCGGTCCGTCCTTGCTGCTGTCTGCTCGATATCTCCCTCGTGTGGATGCGCTTGGGAGACGGATGAACCGCAGACATGTCGTCACGTAATCAATCCGTCCGCGGATCAGTTTGTCATGTGAATCGGCCTTTACTTGGCATAAAGAGCAACACAAGCGTACGACGCTCTTCATCAGATAGTTTAACGCATACCATGTATACACTCGATAGTCGTTCCTAGAATGAATGAAACGAAACTTCTGCTAATCGGGCTGATAAACCTGGCCATCTCCCAGAGCTTTCCCTACTCTCGAGCTCATCTCCCTCGGTGTGCACAGGCAGTCCAGCTCCTCCTCGCCTATTCCTCTAGTCACATGACCAGCGATGGAAGTGCTGTGCCATTTGCAGCAAATTGCACCACAAACAAAGGTCTGCTACATCTTGTGCCAAAATGCCAATTTTGCTAAGAGTTGTGCCACACCTGTGCCGAGATGGCTTAAAGCGGAAAAATTAATGTTTTATTATTGTTTGACTCTAATATTCGGAAAAGTAGAAGGAAAAAAAAATTTTACAAATATGAATTCCACAGTGCCTCTACTCACCGTATAGTAGTTTGTTTCGTTTTAGGTCAGAGCACGGTTGAAGGCTCGAACACGTACAACCACAACCACACATACTAAAAGTGCGAGTGATGGGACATTCCCTGCACTCTAGTATTGGTTTAACCAATGAATAAAACATACCAAGATGACGAATGCCACAATGTCGCGCTTTGATACTGTGCATCCACCGGCCAGAGCCGCTGACGTTAGGTATCAACTGCTCTGGCCGGTTGATGTGCTGGCTGGCTGATTGCCGACATCACCTAAATTTCCAGACAATGTCGTCGATGTTGGGAACTAATTGTCCCAAGAAAACCCTGCAAAATAGTAGGATTGCCAATTGTGGCTATGGTCATAAAACAGAACCAGGGTCTTGTATTCCTGATAAGATCGCTCGATTATCGTGTCTGCCACGTGCCTTAGTTCCGTGGCTGTATTCCGCTCGCGTCAACCTCCACCGCATCTCACCAGCATGCCCGAGTCTAGCTTCACCGCTTTGCACCAGAGTGCTAAGAGCAGCGACTGACCCGGGGGAACGCGTGGCTTAGCACGATACGCTCACAAATTATGCTCAGGATTATTACGGGTCAAACTTGTTTGTCCTAATTGTGAGTTAATCTCGAATTTAGAAGAAAAAAAAACGGAGAGCAAGAGAGAAAAGAAAACAAGGGTTTATATTTTAATAAATACAGTAGTCCTGGTAGTTCCCGTGCAGCCGTCGATCGAAAGAGCAGCACACTTTGACATAACTCTGGTTCCTACGCCCCTCACTCCTATCCCACCCGTAAACCAATCGGTGTCAAGCCTCGCGGCCGCACTTTTTTCTGGGCTTCACGAAATGCAGAACACCTAGCCAAAGAATGTTTCACACCGAAGTTAAAGGTGTGTCCATTGCGTGAGAAGTAAAAATATTGACACCTGTTGTAGGGGGTGCATTAACTATGTGAGTAAATACAATAGTTGTGCATCATTGGATTACTCAAATGTTATTGCACAAACTGAAAAAAAAAAAAAAAAAAGTTCAAAAAGGGGTGGCGACGGTCGGGGAAATTCGTAAGTTTGGGGAACCACTTGAAGGTAATACTCTGAGGAACCCAATATAAAATCCACATGCCGGAGCATTGTCAAACTGGGTTTTGTTTATAAGTGGGTTCTGTTTATAAGTGCCAAACCATCAAAGGGCACGGAAAGGGGTTCTTTGATATCGGATAGTCTGAAAATGCCCATCCCAGAGATGCCAGACGTAAACTCCACTCACTCCAACTTCTTTGGCGTCCTGTACTTCTTGAGCAGGTTCTCGGCCTCGGTGTTGGTCGGACGGTCTTTTACCCCGGGGGTGTACAAATAGCAGCCCTTGCCGGACTTGCGGCCTGCAACGAAGTCAAAAGAAAAAGAAATTAGCAGCTACCTTTATCTTCAAAGTTTTGTAATGCACAAAATGCAGTATTTAAAGACCAATCGTTTTAGCCTGTGTAGAAGACATTAAATGGGGGTGTCGAGGATTGAACCTTTATCCATTTAGCGGGGAAACAGGGTGTAGAGGTCACATGACGTCAATCTCCCTAGAAAATTTAGCGGGGAAACCAAACAGGTGCTTAGGTTGCGGGACAATTTTTTCACCACCAAATTCATTGGGAATTGGACAAATTGTGATTGGGGTTCTGTTCAAAAGCATTTATGCATTAAAAGTATTGGTAAAAAAAAATAAAAAAGGCAGGGCAAGACACTGCTTGAAACACTGCTCAAGCTCGAGACACTCAGCACCCCGACGTCCCCGCACTCTCGTCTCCTCCTCTCCCTCAGTTTCTCGCCGTCACAGCATTAGAGGTCGAGCGACGGGGGACGCAAGGTGCCAGCATAGCTCTCGATCGACCCTGGAACTGACCGTGGAATCCAGCAGCCACCAGGTCGTGCAGAATGGCGGGATTGCCGCCCTGGAATCTGGCGCCGAATTCCTTGTTGAGGAACGCGGCGATGTGCGACGCCACGTCGATGCCGACTTCGTCCATGAGCGTCGCGGCACCCACGGGGAAGCCAAACTTCTTGGTCAGGGAGTCTAGTTCCTTGACGGTGGTGCCTTCCTGGCGACGGAAACGGCGACCTCGATTAATTCTCATGCTCTTTCGGAAACAACGACCGTGTTCCCATCACGCGACTTTTATGATTTTTTAAAATTTATTTATAGATACTACATATTCTAACTTGGACATGGTAGAAGTGAAACACACTTCAAATATACAAAAACTGTCCGACAGCCAACGGTGCCTTAAAATGAACAACAATGGGCTCGCAATGGGCAAGCATAAATACAAAAATCAACCGCGTTCAGGCAACAAAGACAGTGTACCAGAAAATGTGCATGTCCGTGGAAGAAAGAAGCCTCGATATCCTACTGACTGTTTTATCATGTTTTCAAAGGTTAACAAAAGCTTCAAGGAGAATTTCAGGCACCGCGCTGTTGCGCATGCACTTTCGGATTTTCGGCATTTACAGTTTGGATTTTTAGGTTTTAGGAAGACACTATTAAGTTTTCGAACTCTTTCCTGTTCTTTAAGTTCATTAAGTTTCCAGTTAGGCTTTCGTTGCTTAGAGAGCAAGCCACAGGAAACACTCGCCCGCAATTATTGATTTGGGAGAAATATACCCAATAAGCTTAACAAATATTACAAAAAAGGACATTTTCATTTTTACAAAGCCGGCGATTTTTAATGATACATTGACATATGTTACGCGTGATCCAACAGCCTTTATATAAAGAGAAAAAAAAAATATCGGCGAGCTTTTCTCCGCATACACTCAATGGCCGGTAAACATTTCTCTGCATCCGCCGGTTTTGCGGCGAGCTTTTCTCCGGGATTCAATAACTTCTGTACCTTGCTTCCGACGTGTTCCCGAAATCCCTGCCTCCCCCAGTTCCTCAATTCTCGCAGACCAGTTAAGTGCCCGCCCAATCGTTAGGCAATGGTGAAGTATTGTCCCTATTCTTCGCAAAATAGGGAAAGACTGATCCGTAATAACGGGCAGCGCTCCTTATTCCTTGCAGAATGGGGAGACCGATTCATACGCTGGCATGAAGAGCTCCCATTCCTTGCAAAACGGGGAAAGACTGACCCATACACTGGCATGAAGAGCTCCCTATTCCTTGCAATAGGGAAAGACTGATCCATAGTAAGAGGGACAGCTTCTTATTCCTCACAAAATGGGGAGACTGATTCATTGTGATGGGAAGAGCTCCCTATTCCTTGCAAAATTAGGAAAACCGATCCATACAATGACAGGAAGGTTGTCCAAAACTTCATTCTTACCCGCTTGTAACGGCGTCAAACAAACGCCTCACATTAGCTCAAAATAAAACACACAATTTTTTTTTCTCCCAGCAAAAAGTGCGCCCCAAAACACGAGGGGACCGACCTGTAGTACCCTGAGGGCCTCGGCCATCATGGCCGACAGGATGCGGGTGGTGTAGAAGCCCGGTGCATCCTTGACGGTGATCACCACCTTGCCCTGCTTCAGGCCCACTTCCACGGCCGTGGCCGCCGTGTCCTGGGACGTCTTGTCCGTCGTGATCACCTCCAGCAGCTGCATCTTGTCCACCGGCGAGAAGTAGTGCATACCCACCACCTGGTACGAGAGGAGGCACATGTCTACTGCGGTGCCTGGAACACATCTCCGACTGCCACATTTTCCGCATCCTCATTTGTGGTCCCTCGGTTCCTGCCTACCATGTCGCACTTGCGTCATCTTGTTGCCTGCAGCAATCTTGGCGGTGGCACTGCAGCAGAAGGGGACACAGCATATGGCTGTCCTGCTCAGAGTCACTCTTCAGCTTCACACAAAGTTTACGGAAACTTCGGCAGCTATGAGTTAGAACACTGACGACGGCGGCAGTAGAGGTTCGCTTACTACTTTTCGACGGAACTTCTATGACACACAAGTTAGGATGTCGACATACGTCCGACAGCCTGGCACGCCGGTTCGTGTGGCGTACTTTGTTGCCACTTTTGAACCACTTTGGATGTGTGGGTGGAATAGGACGCTGGACGTACCGGTCAAGGGTGCGTTCCACGTACCGTGACGTGGGATGAAGCGTGATCCTCTTCGAACAGCTGCAGTTCTGTCAAGCTACCTTTACAACACATGCACGCAAGAACTCTATAAAATCTCGTGTAAGGACCTCAATGAATAAACGTCGGTTCAGCTAGAATAGAACAAACATGCTCAACCTAACAGATGAGTTTGCTACATGTGGATTTGGCTGTGGTCCTACACGAGTTCCTTGAACAGAAGACGCCGCTCAACGCCTTAACTGCTGTGTACGTTCACGCGTTGCAGACATGGCTCCCAGAGTCCACTTGTAAGAGCATGAAGGTGGGCAAGATAGCAGTAATAAAGTCAAAAGTTAAGTCTTTGCAAGGACAGGCAACAGGATCACAAGGAGACTACGTCCTTGCTGTTTGCATTTCTATCACCTGTCCCTTTTTTCTGTCGATGATTCAGGCCTTGAAATGTTCAACTATACTCCACTACCAATGCTACAAGCCAATGGGGCCAATCGAGCTTCTCGGAAAGCACTAGATCATGGCACTTGTCGTGTTTCTATGTGTGTGTCTGACACCATCTGATCCAAGCAAGTGCGAAGGATGCGTCGTGACATGGCATTTCTAGTATGTGCATTTGTGTTTATGTTGCCACTAGCTTTCGGTACTGCTTTTAAAATGAAATGAAGTAGACTATTGTAATTCTGCCCTGTCTCACTTTGAGGAGGGGGCCACTGACCTTCTCGGGCCTTTTGCTCGCCTCGGCGATCTTGGCAATGGGGAGGGCAGACGTGTTGGACGCAAAGACGCAGTGCGGTGGAATGTGCTGCTCCACCTCCTTGAGCACGGCGTGCTTGATGCCGATGTCTTCGAAGACGGCCTCAATGACGATGTCCGCCTGGCTGAAGCGGTCATACTTCAGCGTCGGCTCCAAGGCAGACATGAAGCGGTCTTTCTCGATCCTGCATAATGCAGAGTCTGACTTGACGACCCGACACAGCTCCCGCTAAAAGGCTCTGTCGTGCCCGAGTCACAAAATCTCAGTGCTGAAACTGTTTCAAACGGTTTCAAAAGATCTCAATTCGCGACACAAATTTATGGTGCAAGCTTATGTAGGCGAGTTCATGATGCAGTGCAAGGTGATGATGCAAGATTTGAAAGATTAAATGCGAGGGTTTTATGTAAACCAGACCAGTGAAGGACATCTGGCACACCCAATCTGGCAAACTGTGGTGGTGAATCTGTGCTTCCTTGTCACTCTTATCGCCATCTCAGTTTGCCCTGCGCAGTTTCAGCCAAGCGTCCTTGTTTGTCCTTCTCTTTTTTGTGCTGTTGTTGCCGCTATTACAATCTCATCCTGTCAGCGACAATAGCGAACGCTGACCAATTCTTGCAATCATGGAGGTCCGGACTCACGCTGACAAGCGCTTCTTCTTGACTGCGTCGCTCAGTCCCTTCTGGATTTGCTGCTCCCCGCGACCAAGACCTTTCTGGTTCGTGTCCTTGAGAAGGACATTGTAGCCCTTGTCCACTGAGACGTGGGCAATGCCAGCACCCATCAGGCCAGCCCCAAGGACTCCCACTGTCCTGTGGGCCAGAGAAAAGAAAACTTGTGAACCGAACTCTTCTATACCAAGATGTCAACCGAACGGAACTGCCTTCCCGCGTCTTTAGTGTCAATACCATCGATTAGTTCATTTAGAACTGCCATAACCAATCATATTTGTAAATGCAAACCTTGAATGTTTCAAGCTTCCAGTGAATTTTTTTTTGTAATAATGTTGCATGGATTTTGTATCTTTTTTTCCCCCTTCCCTTAGTAATGCTTCTGGACAACGAGGCTACTGAAATAAATAAATAAATAAATAAATAAATAAATAAAAAGTAATGTGAAGCAAGAGAGACTGTGGTCCAGGATGTATACTTACTGGCACGAAAAATATTTTAGACGGGTTGAACTCTATTTGCATCACTGCGTGGCTTCATTTGTGTTTGACCAAGCTTGTGCATTCGATCAAACTTTTCTTTATAAGTTTTTCGAAAAAAAAAAATGCATGTGGTTATTTATTTTTTGCAATAATTAAAGCTTCCCTTTTAAAAATTAAAATCTGAGTTTTAGAGAAAAAATACCTGGATGTGCCAATTGGCGTAATATGTCAAAAACTCAATTTGAATTTTTCGCAACTTTGGCCGTTCTTTACAAGCTGACGATTTCACTCAAACAGCTCACGTTTTTTTATGCAGCAGGAACTTTTGCAACCTATTTTTAGAAGGAAAGAGCTCATGTTTTGCTCTTATGGTTATTTTTTTTTTTTCCAAAATTTCGGACTTGTTATCCAGAGGAATGTTGCCTTCCATTAGAATTGCTGTAGAAAACTAACAGCAAACTAACAGCTCAGAGCTATGATTATTGTTTTACCCTTTTGTTTATATTCTTTGTACCTGAAAGCTAAATTGAGCTTTTACAGCCCCATTTGTGGACCTCGTGTTGGAGTAATCATTCACAGTTGGGGCATTTGCAAACAATCTCGGCAAAAAAAAGTGTAGAGGCAATATAGAAAGCTGCAAATAGTGCATAATGTCATTTAAATTAGTATTGTTTGAAACGCTTCAAAGGAGTGTCGCAAACATGTGCCCTCTGCGCCGTTTACACAGAACCTAATAGACCCTGCAATGAGAATGATTTTCCTTTTTACTGATCCTTTTCCCACACACATACCCCCATCATTGAATGGTTAACAAATTTTGCTCAGCTAAGCCCCCGTGTTTTATGGAATGGAGCTGAGAAACTTGGAGGCACATTGACCTAGATATGCAATCTGGCTGTTTCTTTTTCCAGTTTAAGGGGGGACATGAGCCCAAGTTTCAAAATTTTTCGAAAAAATTAATTTTTCAATTTTGAGGTTTTCAGTTTTAGAAACTAATTATACACCCTTACACTAAATTTCATACCCATGCAGCAAATAGTTACGTTGATATAAATTATTTTCAACACATTGTGAGGCACCAACAAAGTAAAGGAGTTCAATGTTTGAATGCATTTTTCTCAGTTCCACTTTTTGCTGCAAATTTCATACGAAGGAATCTTTTGTTTGAGGATAAAATTATTCTGATACCACAATCAAGATATTTCTGAACTGAAATTTACTGGGGAATCGGGCTATCTACTTTATTTTGTTTTAAGTTGAAGTCCTCATTGAGAAAAAGCTATGTTTTCAAAAATTGACATAGGACAGTAATGCATCTCATATTTCGAGGTAATTACTCTTCCTGAAATATTTACATTTGAGTTATAAAAACTAGATAGCCCGAAGTCCCACATCCCCCATTTTATACTCAAGCAGTTAAACTTATGCCTAATAGCTTCATTTACATATCACAGATTTCGTAATGAAGAGTGACACGTCTTCTTATGCAGGTATGTAAAGTTGTCCTAGAGAGCTGAAAGTTTGTATAGTACCCCTTCATCTGAAGTTAAATCTCCCGTGCAAATTTCATTCCGATCACTTGAGTAGTTCGGAAGTTCAACCTCTAGCCAGTGTCCCCCCTTAACCCTTTGGGGCTCTCTGTCGGGTATCTTCCAATAAATATTCTCGTTCTGGACAAGTGTTGAAGCTCCCCCAACAGGCCCATTTATCCTTTGTGGTCGGGCACCTCCCGACAATTTCAACTTGCGCCATCTCTTATCGAGTATGTAAACTATGCATACTTAGTTTTTTGTCCCTCCAACAGGTGTCGTAAAAAAATGTGACATGTTTTCGATTATTTGTTTGCTAGATGCGTGGACGGGCATTTTGTGCATGCTTTTGGGTGTTCAAGATGACAGCCTTTACTCCGTCTGCAAAAGGCAAAGACACGAAAATGTTTTCTACTGTAAAACCTGGCTTGGACCCCGGCATTTGCTTTGAAGAGTGTCATACGCTGTGCAAATACCGCTAGTGTAGTTCAAAAATTCAAATGAAAATATTCAGGACAATGCAGAGTTATTTTAAACTGAACATATTAATCATACTGAAGATTTTTTTTTTTTCTTTCTCTTTGCCGGATTATTTGCGAAAGCTACAGTGAAGCAATTATGCCGAAGCACCAGGTTCACAGATAGGGTAGTAAAAGTGCCCTATTTAGCTGTCTGTTACTGAAATTATACAGGTAAAACAATACTTATAGTCCATCATCAGCAACTATGTGGGCCCACTGCGATAGAAGTTGAAAAATAATAAAAAATTACTTTTTCAAAAACCTACTTCAGAAATCTTTTATACTTAACCATTTTTAGAAGCTTGCTTACCGACATTATTAAATTATCACAAGGTAGCTCTCACCTATGTAGCTAAGCACCAATATGTGTTTCACGGTATAGGTCCTTGCAGGTGGGAGAGTAATTTTTTCTTGAAATCTAAATTTAAGCAACATATTGTTTTTGGATTAAAGCAAATTCAACTTAGGCAACTAATGTGAATGTTATTTTTTTCTATACACCAACTTATGAAATAAAATAAAAAAAAGAAGCTTTTTGTTTGTTTTTTTCAGGGTTACCAGGTTGCTTTTTCACAGCAAAAATAAGCTAAGCATCGCTGAGCGCCGATTTTCTGCCCAAATGTAGTGTTAGAGGACCAACCCAGATGCAAAGTTCCAGGACGAACCGTTACCTTGTTCGAAAGTTTTACGATTTTCTGGAGATTTAAGTGGGAAAATGGTGGCCGACGGAGACCTTGAATACATACAGCTGAATGGTGCCAGTTACTGAGAGTGAATAAATTTTCCCATTGAAATTTTCAGAAAATTACTTATAACTTTTAAACAAGTACCTAATGGTTCAATCTGAAATTTTGCATCTGGTTTTGGGCTGCTAATACTACATTTGGACAGAGAAATAGTGTTTGCTGATGCATGGTTTATTTTTGCAATGAAAAAAAACCTGTATATATGCTAAAGTTGAGGCTAGGGCGAGTTGGTACATACTTCGGAATTAAAAACAGCACGGAAAGACGAGGACCAGACAAAGAAGTGACACGGACGTAGCGCTGACTTACAACTGAGTTTATTGAACGCAAATCGCAATATATATTTGCGGTGTCACGAACAAAAAAGAAGAAAGAATTCAGCCCATGTTATGCACCACCAATAAACATCAAAGACAGCAAAGACAGCACCAGCAAAGCAGGTGCTGGATTTCCCTCCCATGTGTTAACAACAGTCGCCGAGTGTTTGCTGAAAGATATCAAGAGCAGCCCTATGACAAGTGAAGAAGAGGCCTACAACAGAAAGGGAAGGGAAAAAAGAAAGTTTGTGGTCATCCCCTACATACACGGCCTGTCCCACAACCTAAAACGCATTGCTGGCAGATGTGACGTCGACGTTTTATTCTCTGCCCCGGACAAGTTGTCCAGGTTGTGCAGAGCTGTTAACCCTTCTTCGAGGGCAGCCACGGTTTGCAGTACGAGGCATCGAGATCGCTTCGTCTTGTATTCTGAGGGGGTTGTTTATTCTCTCCCTCCGACGTGTGGCAGGCGCTACGTTGGCCAGACGGGCCGCTGTCTCAATGACAGGTTAAAAGAGCACGCTTACAGTGTCTCCACAACCGCGTCCGGTCATCTGGGCATTCATTGCCGCGACTGTGGTTGCCTACCCGACTTCAAACGGTGTGAGGTTGTTAAGCGTCATAGGGACCAGCTTACTCGGGAAATTCTAGAGGCTGTAGAGATAGCGAGGTTGGGTGCAGCATGTGTAAGCAGTCCTTCTGTGGCCCTATCAGGCAAAGAGATGAATTTTCTGGTTCTCTGACTTGCTCGTGTTTTAGCACGTACTCTTTACGGCTGTGTCATGGTGCATTTTTTTTTTTTTTTTTTTTATACATATGTATATATATATATGTTTTTTATCATTGTTTAATGTTTATTGGTGGTGCATCCCATGGGCTGAATTCTTTCTTCTTTTTTGTTCATGACACCGCAAATATATATTGCGATTTGCGTTCAATAAACTCAGTTGTAAGTCAGCGCTACGTCCGTGTCACTTTTTGGTCTGGTCCTCGTCTTTCCGCGCTGTTTTTAATTCCTGTATATATGGCTTGCTCATGCAAGCTCATACTCAAAGCTCAATCCGATGAGCACAAATGCCGCACGACAACAGCTTGCATGCTAACCCACTGCATGAATATTTGATCACCGTTTATTTCATTTTTGTTTACTTCCCGTTGCTACCCAATAGGGGCTCACGACAGAGATAACGGCCAAAGTAGGAATTGAGCTATCACACAAATTTTTTTTATAAAAATCAAAAGACCTGACAGATCTGATTGAATTTGAACGTAGCCGCCCCGGTACTACCATAGGTATGGCAACAGTTTTCCATGTGCACCGTTAGGCTGCACAGATTCTCAAGGTGGCTTCGTTCGCACCCGGCAGAAGTGTGCTGCTCAGAACACGTCTCCGACTAGGTCCGTCTACTGCGTCCCCATTCGTGGTCCCTCGATTTCCGCCCGACGACGTCACACAAGTGTCCTAGCATACTCGTCTGCCGCGATCCTGGTGGTGGCGCAGCAGCGTGGGAGGATGCAGCAGACGACCGTCCACCGTACCCACCTGCGCCGGCAGCTTAAGTTCGCTCGACCGTCAGATAGGCGGAAGCTTCGGCATTGGGGCGTCAGGACGCCACAATGACGGCAACACTTGTGTTCGCTTTTCTCTTTTTGCTGAACCAACAGCCGGGGACGCGACATCCAACGACAGGACGTCATCTGTCGACGCATTGGGACCGCTTTTGATGCGCGGGCGGGATAAAACAGCGAATGCACCGGTTGGAGAAACGTCCTAGGCACAATGGCAGGAACGGGTTCCTCACTTGACTTTGTTCTTGGGCTCTCCAAACCGATTCTTCTTGCACGTGACTTGTCCAAAGTACAGCCCGATGAGGGCCTTGCTCTGAGGAGTCATCACGAGCTCTCCGAAACCTTCGTGCTCGGCCTTGTAGCCGGCCTGGGGGCCCTTCTCGATGCCGGTCCTCACAACCTGGGCAGACGGTCGAGTACTACTGTAAAGGCAGACTCACACACTTCCGCCTGGTTACGACAGAGTTCTTGTGATCTCTCGCGACGAGATGGCACACTGGCAATCTGGCACTGTCTATGAAGAGACCCTGGAAACACATCACTAGAGCAAGGGTGTCCAAACACCGGCCCGCGGATGGCCGCGGTCTTTCCAGGGTGATGCCCGACCCGCAACCTGCTGCTAAAATAACAAAAATAGACGAGAAAAAAAAATAAAAAAGAAGGGCGCAGCGATGAGCATTAAAAACGCAAACAAAAATATTATTAAAAAAAATTTATATAACTACATAAAAAAATATGTTGTTTTATTTATTGCACAGTTTTATCACCAGCATTGGTATTTGTAGTCCGTTGTTTCATGTCTGTGTAACTATGTTATAATTCCTTTGCTTTCTGACGTATATCGTGCTTAGACTCCTGTGTCACAATTATTGCATATTGTCATAATCAAAACTACCATTCCTAATACCTAATAGCTTTCTGCCCTCTGTGAATATCCCAAAATTTCTATGCAAATTGATTTAGGCTTGGTGAGTTTTGGAGGGCACAATTATTTTTTAATGTCTCAATTAACAACATACTGAATTTAAAAATAAATTATATGTATTCATCCACTTTATCAACTCGAATTATTGTTACATACCTTAAATTTTTACATGTAAATATACCTACTTAGGTTTATTTGTTTCGTAATCCAACTTTTTATTGAAATATTTATTATCCGGACCTTAAACTGCGACATATGCCAAATCCGGCCCCTTAGCCGAAGCTTTTGCAGTATTTGCGAGGTCAAATGTATGTAATATCTCCGGGCTGTTCTCGAGGCCTATTGGGGCGATGGTGTTCCCAGTTCAACAGGCCCTGAGAAGAGGTGACACAATAGTGCCTCCCGTTTCCTCCAACCCGTGCGCATTTTCTGCGGCTAGTACAAAAACGCGCCTAGAATTCTCGTTTTAAAACGCGGTCCCCACCCCTGTGCCGTCAACTTGTTCCTTATCGACCACCCCGTGCATTTTTGCACTCTGTAAAAATAACAAACTTGTCAACTATGCCCCATTCACGGCACTGCAGCAGCCTCAATTTGGCCAGATTTCTTGCTTTATAACTTCAAAGACATGAAAATAAGGCAGGGTGTTACAGCAGATTGTGTTAGTATATATTATTAAGCTTAAATTGGAGGACTTTAAAAAGAAATTTAAGATGGTCTTTTTTTTGTAGCGTTAGCTACACTGGCCGAGGTTGAGCAGTTTCGCGTGGCCCTCATAATTAGCTGTGCTCATTATGCGGAGCGCGCCGCGCGCTTTGCATAATGAGCAAGGCTCATTATGAGAGCTACGCGAAGCTGCCGCCACACGCTCTGCCGCCGCCGCGCCTGCCTTGCTGGTCTGGGCATTCCAAAAGAGTGACGTCATAGCCGCGGCAGACGCACTCGCGCCGCCGCATGCCCAGCTGTGCGCCTCCGTTGCACAGTAGCCAAGTCTGATGCTGCACCGGAGCCGCTTGATAGCGCCTCTCATTTTGTGGGCGTAAGCTCACGCTACAAATTTTATTTAATTGATTTTCAAAATGGTTTGTATTGAGTAGAACAGCCCCATTTGAGTGTTTCTCGTAAATTTGTTCCTCTAACCAGGACAAGAAATTGTAGCTAAAAAATTAAAAAAATACAGGGCGACAGGCTGACAAAGTTTAAAAAACCTAGCATTTATAGATGTAATGAAAAAATATTGAAGTGTTTTTGCACAATGTGCCATGTTTGAGATTTTTTTTTGCAAACAAATGACGACGATTCTCCGTGGCAAATACTTTGGGTCAATCATCCCCAAACCCAACTTACCAGTAAATATTTCTAGACTCATAAACACGTTAGTAGTTTTGGGGGACGTGCCTGAAATGCCAACTTTGTACAATCTGCAGAAAGCACTTCAAACAGAGACCGCTTCTTAATTTTTTTCCGACAATATTTTTCTTCTTTGCAAAAACAAAAGCTGGTTTTAAAAAATGGTTGTTGGACATGGTCGTCCAAACTTATCGGAAAACACCCAGCAGCTATTCTTTTACCTTCCAAAACATTTTTTTTCAAAATAACATGCAAACAGGCCTCACGCGACGTAGAAGAGGCATGTACACTGTGCAACACTGTGAGTGCAACCGCGACATGGGCACTTTTGCACATTTTTCTCCGAAAGGGCACCAAAGATTACAGATTAGATTAGTGCCCCAATTAATGCATTCCACCACACATAGTGTCGACGAAAGTCTTAGGATTCCAAGAGAAAAACAAAGAAAATTGGTGATTGCTTGTTTGCACTGAAAGAGTCGTACTATGTACCTTTCAACCCAAAATTCCCAAAGTTTACCTCGAGGATCTTGAGGGGTGCTGGGTATAGTCCCTGGGTCATTTTCATGACCTGTCCTTTTGCCTTCTCGAACACATAGTTCCTGGCATATTCGTACGAGAGTGCCTTGTTCATCAGCCCTGCAAAAAATGCCACGACCCGTCACAATCCGGCAATCGAGCGGCAAGGGTGAAATTAAAAGGAAGAAAGTAAGTACTTGAGGCCACTCACGCTCCATCAGTGGCCTTGTTCGATTTGGTGTGAGGGTGTTCGATGCAAGGCCCTTAGCAGCTTCGACTGCAACTTCTTCGAGGTATTCGATCATCCGGTCTTCCATTGGTTTCAGTCCTGGGCCTGCATAGCCAAGTTTTATTTCGAGGTGCATTAAGTACAGTTTTCAGCCAGCCTTTCATTTTTTCTTCATATGGTGTACGAGTCTGGGTGCATAACAATGCCATAATTCACCGTAATATATAAGTCCCCTACCAGGTGTCCAATCGAGGACTAACGAAAGTCAGATGTAGAAAATAGAGTAAAATCTAGTTAAGGGGATGCTAACACGAATTTTGAGATTGTCTTTGCATGGCACAATCTCAATCTGTGCTCCTTAAACATCCCAGAAAACCCAAAATTACAAGTATGTGCTCACTTTTCACCCAATAAAAACACCACCAAATGCCACTTTTCTGAAATAGATCTCAGGACAAAGGGGTGCGTCGCAATGTTTGGTCATGTTTTTCATTAAAAAAAATAGACCATGCATGATTGCAATTGTGCGTCTTCTAGAATGTTTAGAGCATGTGGGCAGAGTTTGCGACCTACAAAAAGCTTTCACCAAATCTGCTCTTGTGCTTTTTTAAAATTTAATGCTATACTTTCGGTTCCTTGTGACAACTAACATAAAAAAAGACAGGCTATGACCCCCCCCCCTCCACAATCTACATAAATTTGACCAACCAACCAACCAAGACCAAGGCAAGTCCACAGACTCACCAAGCAGTTCCACGGTCTGATCCACAAGACCCATCTTCTTGGCTTGATCGGCGCGAATATTCCGTCCAGTCAGCATCATGTCGAGCGCAGTCGGAAGTTGGATCTGTGCAACAATAAGCGAACTCAGCACTTGGTACAGGCGCAAAGCGGAACGCCCGCTGTGACATGCCTACATCCTGTATCCTCCTGTGCTTAGCGTCCTATGCCACCCACTGACCAAAGATTCCCCGAAGAGACGTCAAATAGGATAACTGACGATCTTCAAAAAAAACCAGCTCAGATCATTGTGACCCCAATACATCGGGTATTCAAAGCTACAGTACAACAAACTGACATGTGCAAGCATGATACTATGCTGCCCGCAACGAGAATTCGAGAGGCCTTATCCCGCCCATGTAACAAAAGTGCCAGTAGGCTCGCAGAAATCCAAATTCGGAAACTGCGAACAATCTTTTTTCTCCGGGCCAATATTTTGCGATTTTGGAGAAGTGTGGTTTTCGAGAACATTTCAGGGACACAACATTCCATGAATCAGGGTGGTACGGTATGTATCTATTACCATAAGGACACATATTCGCAGGATTTATTTTTTGCAGTATTAAAACAAGACGCAAAAATTACGTCCTCGCAAAAATTAAATCGATTTACAGTATTTCATACTTCTGGTTAATTCAGACAAGTTTCAAAATTTTGGCTCCCCTGCCATGTTTTCAACGTACGGTATTTGTAAGCTGCTCCTCACAGCCCCATTGAACGAGCTTCCTACCAAGCACAGTTGCACAGCAGATATACAACACCCGCGGAGCTCAATTCTGCAGGTGTTGCTTCCCCGTAGTGCAGCAGTGCTCGGCAAGTTCACAATAAACAGCCTTTTTTTTCCAAAAACAAACCAACCTAATTTTTTTTTGGGGTGTTAGATGCTGTTTAAGCAGTCCACAATAGACAACATTTTGGGGGGATGAATAAGCTTATCTCAGAACATTTCACCAATGTTTCATGTGTGGCATACCTTCTTATGGTTACGAGGCCTGTGAAAAGAAAATCATTAAATATCTGCTCAGTATGTGTAGCTATCCATACAGCAAATCATAATTTTATCTCGCATCACATTTAGCTTAACTTCCGATAGTTGAAACGAGATTTGTGGCTTCCTGGAGTCTGAATTAACGAGTCTACTGTAGTCCCTGAAGTAGCCACTAGTTGTGTCACAGAAGCAGTCCTGAGAACCACGTCCAAAGGAGCACCGACAATCGACGCGACGCACGATCCCGGCATCGCCGGGCGTACGACGGCCAGAGACGTGTTTCGTGCACCACACTTTTGACGGTGAACAAATGGCGGAACTCACGAGCTTGGGAAGGCGCTGGGTTCCGCCGGCACCGGGGAGTATGCCGAGCATGACCTCCGGGAGACCGAGGACGGTCTTGCGCTCCTTGACGGCTATCCTGTAGTGACAGGCCATGGCCACCTGAAAGGCAGTCGCACGCTGTCAGGTGTTTGTCGCATCACCGTCGTCGCGGTCCTACCGTGCCAGTTTGCGATACCTTTTTGTCGTTTAAGGAAGGACACCACCCGAAAGAGAAATCGTTTGAACCTTTGGCTTAATACAAATTAAACTTACAGTATATTCTGGCAGTTGCGAGCCAAAATGCAGTGCGAAGTTTCATCTGCGTACATGAATTGTGAAATTATAATTGTATTTTTATCAGGAACACACTGACATTGTTTGGGAAAACTATCGTTAGAAAACTAATGTAATACCCTACGTTTTTCTTCACTAGATGTGCAGCAGAATGCCTGGAGAGTGCAACTATGAAAACAAAATTTCCAAAAAGTAATTTAGTTTATGCTAACATTGAGCTGAAAAATCAAATAAGTTTTTTGCCTTTTATGTCAAATTTTTAACATTTTTTTCTTGTAAAAGACATTCACAATGTAAAAAAAAAACAATTCAACAGTTAATTTGCCTTTAAATCAGAGTTAGAAAAAACGAGTGACCCTTTCTTTTGTCCTGTTACCAAACAAGTTTTCCTAAAGTGAAATTTATGCAATAAGTGGAACGGAGAAAAACACATTAAAAGTGCTCCGACCTCTACATTTCCTTTAGCATCGGTGGACTGAAAATAATTTATAAAAAAAATGACTATTCACTATAAACAAATGAAACTTTCTGGGAACACTCTAGATGTTGGTGGATGCAAATAAAACATTTTTAAAAGTCAACATTTTTTACACATATTTTTTTTTCTGGGTAGTGTCCCCCTTAATGCGCAACAGTGCAAAGACCTAAAGCATGGCCTCCCCAGACTGCGTTAATAGGAGCCCCAAGGGACCCCAGAACACCCTCATGGGATCCGCGAGATCTTGTATTTCCTCGACCATCTCTGTCCGTTGAAGTCAAGTGTTTGTCCGGCTTAAGCGCCATTTCAGCAGATTTGAGCCACTTGTTGGTGCAGAACTATAAGCCAACCACCCCCTAGCATGCATACTATTATTATTTACAAGGGCAGTGGTATCCTGTACTGCTTTATTGCACCAATGCCGAAACCAAAAGGAGTTCCTCCGCTGCCATTCATAACAGATAAAGGTTTCTCGATGTCAAGAAGTTTCACAGACACTGATCTAAAGACAAGCGACAGTGCTGATAAATGTTTGTTTCGGTCGCGTAAACCGTAATGCCTTGGACAAATGTAGGAGCATCATACTGCTGCGAGAACCTTAACCTCCGGTTCCGCAGCCCTGGATGACTCCCTTCCGCAAAACGTTGCGTCTTTGCTGTCGCACACCGCGGCTGGGATTGGGCCGCCGTGAAACTTGGGCAACGCTCCCGAAATGGGCCGCTTGGTCCTTTCTCAGTAGAGAAAAGACCTGTGTGCTTTACGACATTCAGGCACAAAAGCATGCACAGTTCTAGCCACCGCTAACTAGTAGTTCGCTTCTAGTCGAAAGTTTTGTGCACAACGAACATCTATGTCACGACCATAAACAACTCGACAAACAAAAACAAAGAGCATCGGACAGGACTTTGTTTTGGTCCACACAAAGCAGTACCTAAAGCTAAGTTACGTAAGAAAGCTCAGGAAACTGTGGAAACAGAAAAAAGACACGAGCGAGTGCTTGTCCGCGTCCCCTTTTTTCGTGTCCATCTTTGTTTGCGCTTGTTTCCGGACGTCATGCACCAACTAGCCCAACAACAAGTCTTGTTAAGCTTCAAGAAGAGAGCCATTTCTCGTGTCCATCTCTGTTTGCACTTACGTGTTTCCCGACATTGTGCACCAACAAGAACAACAACAAGTCTTGTTGAACCCGTAAAAGAGCCACATACATAGGAACAACTTGTTTGTGTGACCAACCTCCCACACAGAGAGACCGCTAGACGTCCAAACTGAAAGAGAGACCGGTAGACGTACCTCAAGACCTCCACCTAGGCAGGACCCCATAATGGCCGCCACGATGGGCTTGGGGCTATCCGCCAGCTTCTGCACCATCTTCTGTCCCTCGTGCGAGAGTTCGGATGCGTGGGAAACGGACGTCACCTTGTCCAGCATTCTGGTGGACGACGCGCGGTAGAGATGCAGCAAGTTAGGGCCGAGCAACCAATTTCCTTTTTCTCAATCACCCGTGATCAACGGCTTCCTCGTGCCGCCACAATTTGAATTTGCCGCTTGGGAACGCTGAAGCTTCTAAAGCTCTTCAGCTATCTTGTGAATAGTTGAAGAGCCATAGTTTCAGTTTTGATTTAAATTTTGCACTTTCTTACAAGCTGAAGATCTATCGGAAATAAATTTTTTTCATGACAGCGTCACTTGTCGAACGCGGTGTTTCACTGGCGGTTGGGGCTGCCACAAAAACGGCTTCACTCGCGCAATTTAACTGCCTCTGCTGCTTGTTCTTTTGGATGGCAGCAGCGGTGAGGACTGTGGATGATGTTGGATCATTTGATTTGAACTCCAGCACCAAGGTTTTATGTCCAAGGCCTTGAATGTGCACCACTGCAAGCAACAGCTTCTCTGAATGGCACTGCTGTTACAGAAGCTATGGCTTGCCGATGTTCACCCCCCAAAAAAAGACAATATTAGATAGAGCGGTCTAACTTGCAGAAGGGATAGTGATGAGTATGAAGGCATGCTTGGTATATTTCAGATTTTTAAAATTCATATTATAATCTCATACAGCCACAAACGTTCCAAATTTTAATTTTTGCATAAATTCCAATTTCGACAAATCAATATAAAAAAAATCTCTTTCAGACATCATTGCAATTGTTTGTTCTTTCTTCTAAAGAGCAGCTTATTGGCTACATTTTGATGTATTCTAATGTTGTATCATGATTAGATATTAAAATAAAAAAAGGTTTTCTTCATCTCCCGAAAATCACCCCTTTTTTCCCCATGGCATGAAAAGAGTTAAAAAGTACAGAAATGAATGTTACATCCTTTGCTGCATTCTTCACTCAGTCCTCAATTTCTCCTCCCCACCCCCCCCTCAAAAAAAAAAAAAAAAAAACTAATAAGAGAAAGACAAGGCAAACTCACACTCTGTATACATCACACCTTAAAGTTTTGTTCTGAGCCTTATTGAGTCGAAGCCCAGGAAAATATGTTCCATAGTCCCTCTAATAAACTTTTTGGGGGAATCATGCAATCCTCAATATTTCTAGTAGTCACTGCCACTGCTCAGAGGGTACAGTCGTCATGGCAGCGATTGAGACAGCAATTAATCCATTAGGTCAGTATTTCAACACGCAGCAACCCCTACTACCAACTCACGTAATGTCCGCTCCGGCGATGAAGCAACCAGGCTTTGAAGAAATAAGCACTGCACTTGTGACGCTATGGTTGTTTTCAAAGTCCTTCAGGACAGCATCCATGTCCTCCATCACTTCGGCATTCAGTGAATTCACCTGTGAAGACGCATGCTATAATTTAGATTCCTGAAACAGACACTGAAGACATATCCAAAAATTTTGTAGAAAGACATCTTGTTTTTAGAAGTTTGACATGCAGCCTAATTGTTCCCAAATATTCCGGCATACACTTCTTCCCAATGCAAGAAAACCAGCAAAAACCACCAAAAGTGACCTTCACCTTCGGCAAAAGCAGCCGTGCGAGACAACCATCTCCCACAAGAGAATGGATTTGGAACAAAATTAATGGGGAGGGATGTAAATGAGACTAGGCTAGGTGGCGAAAGCTACCACAAGATACGAAGGATATAGCTTATTCATCCATCCATCCATCCTACATGTCTCTCTCTTTCCTCCCAATGTCATGTGCAGCAAGATTGGATGATGAACTCTTTAATCGATTTGTGAGACACAGAATGGTATGTTTTCACTAGAACTTTATTGGTGCTGCCAGAAATACCTGTACAACACAAATCAACTACAAAACTGAAATTTAGGAAAAGTTTACTTACGCATCCCTTAAAAGGAGCAGAGCAACAATATTTGTCCTTTCAGAAAATACCGCTTAGAATTAGTGGTTGACATTCATAATCTACTAAACATGCAATAGATATTTTTTTTCTCCAAGCAATGGTAATTGCAGATGAAATTAGAGAGAAACGAGCAGAGTTTACGAACTCGCAACCAGAACAAGCAGTCACGTGATCCGGTGCTGAAAGTAAGCTGCCAATGTTCATTGTAGCCATGCACTGGGGTTGGCAGAGCACAGGACACGTGCCGAGTAGCAGACATTGTTAGGGGTCTACGATTACCATCATTGCAGCGAGTGAACGCTAGTTACTATCCAATGCTCGTCGAGGCATTGATTGTACCGAGCCCAAATGGAGGGCTCACACAGTGTTCATGTCTGATTCATGAGCAGGATTCTTGCCGCCATGTCCCTGTGTCTACACTGCGATCCCCATGAATATGTCATTAAGTTTTGTGAACGAGAGACTGAATGAAAAAGCCTGCTTTTATATAAAAGATTACACCGCAACAAACCTCTCTGGTATGTGGTGCTGCATGCGAGTATACTTGGGTCGCACTATTGCCAGTGAGCTTATAGAAAGTGAGACAGTGCAACCGAATATTGTTCCAACCCCTTTAACAGATGACATTCAAGACCTTACCCTTGAGTCCGGCGAGTTGATGCGAACCACCGCCACACCATCCTTGACAGTGTACGTTATATGCTTTAAACCTTCGAGAGAGAAGTGAAAGAGCGAGTCATCCTAACAAACCAGCTTCAAAGCGTCAAGAAAGTATCACAGCAACACCATACTCGAGAATTTCACTTACTGTTCATGGTGGTTAGTGAAAAATCCCTAACCGGCGTCGTCCCTAGAATGCATACAGAAAAATGTCAGTGGGGCAAATCGCTCTTGGGTATACCAGGAATGAACTGGCAACTAATTTTTGCTTGTGCCAAAGCTTACTAGCTTCAGAAAAGTAAGTAAAGCTATGCGGAGCGCAAGTTTGTCTGCTTCCTGCACAGGGGTTGTGGTGATGTCAGAACGTCGGGCTCTTATTGGCTCTGATTGAAGGATAGTGGATAGACCTCAAAGCAAGCTTGCCTGAGGTTTACCCTCTATCTTTCAATCAGAGCCAATCGGAGCTCGGCATTCTGACGTCACGACAGCCCCTGGAAACTAAGCAGATGAACTTGCTTTCTGCACAGCATCGTGTTTTTTGGCACCATTGCAAAAAGGCTTCCGGGTTTTGGCAGGCATATGCAAAACATTTTTTTTTCTCTTTTTTTTTTTTTTTGGGGGGGGGGGAAAGGGGGGAGGACAAGACATCAAATAGGTGGCTCCCGTTTCCTTTAATAATTACTTCATTTAGTAATAATAATAATAGTCTGCTTGCAAAGTAATGTTAAACCGGGTGGCTAGCAAGACTAGAACAGAAAGGAGAAAGCCCGTACGCTCCTGCACCTGTTAGCCAACCAGCCAGGGGAGGAGAGAACAAAATAACCTAACAAAAACTGCCCTACAGAAAGCACGTTGGACACTGGGTACGAACACACTACATAGAGCCTCAATTTTCGCCGTGTTTGCTGCGCCACACTTAGCAGATGGTAAAGTATTCACCAACAAACGCGATAAATACAGAAATATTTGAGTATCTATTATAAAAATAGGAGCTAGAGGTAATAAAGGGAACAGATCTTCAGGTAAAACTTGGGTCACGGCGAGATAGCCCCTGCACCAGGAATGGTTCACCGACTGCAGAAATAAACATGACAACCGTTCGCGTTCATAACATGCGAGAACGCTCGTTCTACAAAATTTTTACACTGCAATTAACGAAACATAAGGTTCAAGGTTATCGAGATATGGTTACATCTTCCATGAGTTCCCCACTCCAGCGGCCTACAGCTAGGAGACTCCCTACATGACCTCGACATTTAACGCTTTCAAAGTTTCGGGGGCACATCGGGATTCTCATAATATCAGTAGAAGCGTTAAGTAAGATATGAGGAAGCGCTCAAACTCACCCAAGGCCGATAACCGATGAGGAAAATTACGGAAAACTCCCAGCACCCGACAAGCCATGATTACTTCCTCGCCGACGTTTCTCAGGCAATCGCGGATCAAACGGAGCGAAGGCCGGCAAACGTGTGCTAAAACCCGATGCAATGCATGTTCACGCCGTTACACTTTTCCTGATTTGAAGGCAACAGGCCTAAATAGTTTGTACTTAAAAGTACATAGGTAAATTATTTTAAAATTTAGTTATTGTTGAAACAGTTTGAGCATTGTCGTTACGTCTGGTAAGGTTTGGGTTGGGCTCGGCCTTCCGTTTTTGGGTCACCTATCGCATCCTCCTTTCAATTACTTCGGCCGGCACAGTCGATTAAAGATGGCGTACGTCGTTGGTAGAGTCGGCATCGCTTCCGCGTTAAATCAGGCGAAATTATGTAAGTATGATTTGTCAAACTTCGAGCTGGGGGACAAACGAAAGTTTATGTATGCCAGTTCGACATGTTCCTATTGAGTTTTGTCAATCGAGTTGATTTTGTGATGCCTTCAGTTCAGACCGTTCTGTGCCCTTGCACGAAAGGGTTGCGACCAGCGATTTCCTGATGCGTATTAATTTCCGGATTTCGTTCATAACGCATAAATGCAGTCTTCTCTTTTTTTTATGTGTATGTATGTTGTCACGTGCTTACTTGTCACGGTAATCTAACTTGTTTACATACCTTAGATGTTTACAAGTGTCTGTAGAGATATATCTGCGTAGTTCGAAATTCAGTGGTTCAACAAGACGATGTACAAAATGTAAAAAAAAAATATATATATATACTGTATATATATATATGTGTGTGTGTGTGTGTGTGTGTGTGTATGTATGTATATATATGTAGATACATACATGCCTACATGCGCGTTAAAATGGCTTGCAAAGATAAAAAAGACTAGACCGATCTTGTAGCAACTTTTCTCAAAAATGTCTTTAACTAGTCACATTGTTGCGCTAAAATTTCAAGTCGGAACTCCGAGTAGTAAGAAAATAGTGATTTTTTTTAACGGCGAAGCAGCAGTTGTCGGGGAGATCATAACTTAGAGCGCGACTGGGACGACAGACAGACAAGAGAAAACACAGGACAAGCGCTGAACTAGCAACTGACATGATTGAAAAGATAGATTGCGGATGCCAACCCCTTTTCATTAACACAAGCACATACTACCCTGAGAAATAATGGAGACTTTCTACATAACACAAAACGGATCCTTGTGTGTGAGCCAGCCCACAGTGACTTTGACAAGCACTGAGATCAGTTTTTTGGATCTTGGATAAGTGGTCCAGTTTGGTGTTGAGTAAAAGAAGAAGTGCCAGGGCCACAAAGGGGCATGCCTGCACGAGCATCAGCAGCATGTGTATTTTTTTATTTTCAATAGAAACACTTGCTAGTTCAGCGCTTGTCCTGTGTTTTCACCTCTGTCTGCCCTTCTCCCAGTCGCGCTGTAAGTTATGATGAACTCTTACCAACTTGCCCAATTGTCCATTCTGTCGGGGAGACACCGAACAATGGCCATGTTTCTTTGCCTTATCCAGAGATGGCGCTGAAGATTACTGGACGTAAAGCCCCTAGGCTCCGAGCGAAAAAGCACTCTTTTATCTGAGTCTTTGGTTCCGAGGGATATTTGTCAAAATAAAGTTGTTTGGGTTTTCAGTTAAGTTTCACAGTGGAGAAAGTGTCACACCATAAATATTAATAAATAAAACCACCCAATGCTGCTCCAGAAATGACGTACCTTCGTCTGCAATGGTTCTCGTTTCGTACGTTGCCTACTTTTGCAGTTTGACGTTTGAAGGAGACACAAGAGGCAGCCAGGAGTGCACCTGAAAAAGCAGCAATTTGGTGGCTCTGAAAAGCCACTGAAATCTGAACTACGGTCTTCGTAGTTGCGGTCAAATGACTTATTCACACTGGTTACTGTAAGCTGGTTACAGTGTGTGAATGAGGCATTTGACCGTAGTTGCAGTCAAAAGACTCATTCACACTGGTTACTGGAAGCTGGTTACATTGTGTGAATGAGGTTTTATTTATTAATATTTATGCTGTGACACTTTCTGCACTGTAAAACTTAACTGAAAACCCAAAACACTATTTTAGCAATTATCCCTCAGAACCAAAAACTTTGATAAAAGTGTGCTTTTTCGCTCTGCGCTTAGGGGCTTTACGTCCACTGCAGCGCCATCTCTGGGTAAGGCAAAGAAACATGACCATCGTTTGGTGTCCCCCGACAACTGCCGCTCCGCCGTTGGAGAAATCACTTTTTATTTGCTCATTTTCTTTGTACTCGGAGTTCAGACTTGAAATTTTAGCATAAAAATGTGACCAGTTTTTGAGAAAGACATTTTCGAGAAAGGTTGGTACAAAATCTGTCAAGTTTTTTTTTATTTTTGTGAGCCATTTTAGCGTGTAAATTGTTTTTTTATGTATGCACCTAAGGGCTGGAAATGCTTAGCAAGTCGGCCGTTCTTCTATATTTATAATTTTGCATGACGCTCAAGGAGAGTTGTAAAGCTTTTATTGGGCATCTTCATAACAGAGCAAATAAATATATAATATTCAGGGTGTCTAGTGACCGGGAAAACTGGGAAAACCGGGCTTTGTCAGGGAAATTTTAGTTGCCGGGGAAAATCGGGGAATTGTCAGAGATATTTTCAAAAAAAGAGGTCACTCTGGGAAAATGTTTCAAAAACGCCATAGAGTGCCCTGAGTCGACATGAGGACTTGGGGGCAGAAATATAGGCAATAAATTCTGCTTAGAGTGGAGCGCGGTGCCTGCTCACCCGATGTAGAGTGTGCTACCCAATGCAGAGGGGACAGCCGAAAAATCCAGTTCAAGCCTTGGATTGGACTGGATTGAGGGCACGACACTAGGCTTGATCCAGTTAGAGCTGCTAGATTTAGTAACAAATGGGAAAGACGCAGACCCCAATCCAATCCCAGCACTAAGCCGAAAGTATCCGAAAGTGTGCATCTGGCGGCAATGCGCCATGCTGCCAATCGGTTATTGACGTGTGTGGTTGAGCGTCGTGCTTTCATTGTGTTTCCCGAAGTGGCTTTTTCACTGAAGATGTCGGCGGCAAGAAAGTGCTCGTTTAATCCGGACTGGACAACCCAAATATTTCGGAATATGCAAGTTGGATTAAGCCCATGCAAAATGATGCTCACTGTGCTCAATGCTCAATGCCTTGTGCTGTAATGGTTTTATGTATTTAACCGACTCTACAGTGGTCAGGGAATTTCACCTGAAATTGTCAGGGAATTTCAAAATAATAATTTCTTAGACACCCTAAATATTGATCACATTTTTTTAAATATTTTTTTTTTAAGAACTACTGAAGAAATGTTTACAGCAATGGACCTTTTTCAAGAAGGGTTGTGAACATGCGCAGGCCTTCCTCTCGCAGCGGCGAAGGCTCGAACTTTGGTTGGAGTCCGGAGGAATGGTTGCACTACCTCTCCTGCCTTTTTTGTGAATCGGGTCAGCTGCAGAGAAGGCAGGAAAGGTATCGCAGCTCCCATTCTATTTCCCAACTGTAGTTGGTGTTTTAAGCCACTTGGCGCCATCTTAATGTAAAAAAGGTCCATTGGTCTAGTGCAAGCCGATCAATCAAGTAAATAGAGCAAAATTTCTTCCACAAATCTTGAGCGTGATCAACATTTACAGAACTCATACTTATATCATTTTTAGAGTCCTTTATCAGTGTTGCATTTTCCATGATTTTTTTCCTATCCATTATTCTCAATTTAGAGCTCATTATTCCCGAGGAAAGCGTGTTTGTTTGTCTGTTTATAACCTTCTATTATTCCAGTTTAGTCGTGTCCATTTTCTCGCTTTTTCTCCTTGTCTGGCACTTAAGACAGAACAAAAGCGCATATGCTGCCTTTTTTTTAAGTTCTTTTTTATACAAGTTTAAAGGTGAAAGAAAACGTCAGAAACAAAGTTCATTTTCGCCGTTATCTGATGCCAGATATTTTCTCCACTCCTTCGGTGTCACTATCACAGCCTGTAAATATGTGATAATACTGGTCTATGAGCACCGACCTCCTAGGCCCTGATTGCGATATTTGAGGTTATACTTGACTATATCTTCGATGGCTGGCTCGTGCACGGACTTTAACCCTTGGCAGTCAAGGTATATTGCACTGTGCATGCTGAAACCTTTGCTCCTACTATTGTAACTGAAGCTTTACGAGCCATTGAAATGCCCTTGGTCCCCGCTATGCCTGGCTGCTACCGTAGATCTAGCAGTCAAAAGAAAACAGCTGGGTACAAATAAAAAAATTAATGCTTCATAATTGTTTTTAGAGCGCAGCTCTTAGGCGCCCGTTTCTTCGTTTCGCAGCGTCAGTTTAACCACGCTAAATTTAGCAGGAAAATTGACGTCATGTTACTTCAACACCAATTCTGTTTCCCCGCTAAATTTAGCGGGGAAGTTGACGTCACATGACTTGATGTCATGTCACGTATGAACAAATACAGTTTCTCCGCTAGATTTAGAGGGAAAGTCAACGTCACATGGCCTCAACTGCAATTTAATTCCCTGCTAAATTTAGCGGGAAAATTTACATCACGTGAACTTAACACCAATTCAGTTTCCCTGCTAAATTTAGCAGGGAAAATGACGTCACATGACTTGGTATCACGTCACCTATGAACAAATTCAGTTTCTCTGCTAGATTTAGCGGGAAAATTGACGTCGCATGTGAAGGAGGAGGAGGGGCATACCCTCCCCTCCTTCTCAAGAGCTGCACTCTAAATTTGCGTTGCAAAAATTTTTAATCTTTTTTTTTTAAATTTAAATTAACATTGTTGTTTGAATACATAGTTTTAATATAAGTTTGCTACACAGAACTGATTTCTTCACAACTATCATGTTGAGCATTTGTGCGATATCATCAGCGGCTGTTGTCATAGGGTCGAGCCCACCGTGAAATTTCGAGCATGCACCCATGTCGCAATAAGCGCCCATCCCTTTTGAAACATTTGAAATATAAGCAAAGGACATCAAGTACCCACCTCATAACACTTCCTGGCCCATCCGGCTATCCGAGGTGTCCCACCACATCGGCTGCTTTTGCAGGCGGGTGGTGCAATGCGCAGAAGCTTTACGATTGTGCAGAGGTGCGACGCGGTAAAGCTTGACAAGAGCGGCTCCATTCTGTCAGACCCCTAAATTGCTCGTGTACCATTTCGTTGGATCAGACATGGGCCTGCCCAGCCCCCTTCTGCTTTTCTGCTCTTAAACTGAACAACTGCCCATCCTTCCTTTTTTTTTTTGTGTGTGTGTGTGTGTGTGATTATCTCCAACTTTTTGGTGGGG